GCCAGCCATTGCTGAGAATCCTTGACCAAGAAGGTGAGGAGTTTCCAGAGTTCAGCGCGTTCATCGGGAGTTATAGACTTCTGGTCAAGATGTCGAACAAGATTGACGAAGTCAATGCAGGACGAAGAGCCCAGATGGCCCAGCAAAGACGAGGCCTGATATCGTTCCACATATCCAATAACGAAGCGCAATAACTTCAGGCAAGGAGTCCGGACGGAAGATGGAGACTGCAGTGTCCGAATCAGGCAAGGTGCTGCATCAAATATACGCCTTTCCAGTATTGACAATGGAAGCTCCTGTACTTGGCCGTATCGAACAAGCAGCGATGCTAACGACAATACAGCGCTGACCTGTCGATCGAAGAGACCTTCGTGAGCTAGTGTAGATCTGTCGACTGTGCTCGCCAAGAAAAAGAGACGCGTGAAGGGGTAGATCGCCGAATCTTCGGGACCCGATAATCGGAACGAAGCCACAAGATATTTCGCTGCCTCAAGAAAAGGTATCGTCAAATGGTTCGAAGAGCCGATTGACAGACCGTAATCAAAGGCGTAGCGAATTATATCGTAAAATGAATCAGCAATCGAGGTGCTGATACGGACCTGTTGAGCGGATACTTGAAATGACCAGTCTGATATCTCTTGAAAGATTTGGAACATGGTCTCTGTTGCAGCTAAGAGCATCTTGCTCTGGAATTGCCAGGCTGCGGACACCGTTGAGTTGCGACTCGGGGGACCTTGGGTGGACGAAAGACCATGACCAGACTCCCTCAGCGCCAAGTTGACCAGTGATCGGTACAACTCTGTGCACTTTTCCAAGAAATCGAAGTTCCGGAGAGGTACTTCCACTACAGTGACAATGTTGAGGATCGGTGAAGGAGCTGAATGATGACCAAGGAGACTTGTTCGATTGAGATAGGACCAAATAAGGTGCGGCTTGATTTTCGTCAGGACACTGACGAAATGAAGACAAGACGCCATGACTCGACAATCGAAAACCGACGTAGACCGACGGCGAAAAGCTTGCAACTCTTGTTCGAGAATGTCGAAGATGTACAGGACTACATCCATGTCTGAAGCGAGATTGCTGCTGGCTTCGTCCAGAATCGAGGTGCAGTGATGCTCAATTTGGTCAGCAGACTGACCGTAGAAGGTGCCGCTGAGAACAGTTGATAGAAGAGTCGTCAGAACGCCAATGATCTCCGAGGTCACAGCGTCAGGGTCTTCAAACGGTGTCAAGGCAGTGGCTAGCAGGCCCATGTAACGCAGCTCCAGTAACTGCCCCATGTATGCCAGACCAGAGAACTCGTATTGCCATCTGATTACCTTTGGGGATGTGTCTGGGTCAGAGATGACTTCACCAATGGCACCAGCTGGGATAATCGACGTAGTCTCTGATTCCTGGTGTCCGAAGGTCAGCAGCTTGTTCTGTGAAAGATCAAGTGCATTGACTGATTTGTTGAGAGCCACGAAGCTGCCAATTTCATCCTCACGGGTCGTTCTGTAGTCAATACCTTTAACCGCGGCTTGAGTAAAGGATACCAGTCTCCGAAGCCGAAATTCGACATACTGCGTCCCATCCTCACTAAAGATAGGAGCCTTAGCCAATACCCGACAGAAACGCAGAAAAGGCAAACACTCGTATGGAAATCTTGCCGCAGAAGTGTCGAAGAAGCCTTCCAATAGAAAATTGTCTTCAATGAACTCCATTGCGGGATCATAGACTCTCTTCTCAGAGGAGGGGTCGGGAGTAGATGACAGTAAGGCTAGCTGCGATGATACCAACTCGGGTGTGTATCCCAAGAATGACTGTGACACTGCAAGAAGTTCTTGTATCGTTTGGAATTTGTAAACAGCCAGTGTTCTCGCCGTATTGCCGGCTGATGCAGCGAGGACTCCGATGTACTCAACAATGTGGCAGTGCTCAATGGCAGCTTCGAGGAGAAATACCGATGGATCGTCGCTCGTGTTGAGCGTAGTGAATCTATCAAGAAGATCTTCGAAAATTGTTTGCTGAAAAGAGGATCCGCTGCCTGAAGAACTTCGACGCCCAGTCGCTGCATCGAACGCCGCGACCCCGTCAATCGTTCTTTGAATGTGGTGGCTTTCTCTGTTTTCCTTCATGGCAATACCAAGTTGTTTGATCCGATGAACCGCGATTGCCCATGCGAGGATCGCAGGGCCGGCTTGTATGTTCCTCGTAGCGGCTTCATTAGCAAGCAGCTCGTATATTTGAAAAGCGCAGTCGAGATCGAAGAAGTACTCTGTCTGGGAGTCGTGTCGACCAGCATGGCCGGACAAGGCCGTTTTGTTCAAGGTAGCGACAGTAGATCCGAGGTTGAGCAGAGACAACGACACCAGGGATGCTCCTGACTGTATTCTTTGGATCGCTACCTGTTGAGCGTCGATGTCGGAGCTGAAAGAGGCGAAAAACGCAACCGAAGACATAAACTTGAGCCAGTGAAGAACGGCCTGTGACGAAGGTTTCTCTTCTGAGCTCCGCAACCTCAGTAACAGAATTTCCAAAGCCACACCGATCATTTGTAGACTGGCAGTATCTCCCACAACTTTCAGAATGCTCAGGTGTGGCTCATCCAATTCCCATGAAGGGATTGACTGCAGACTCTTCATCTGTGCTTGGATAAACTTAACAGCATCCTCAATGTCCCGGGTAAGACCAGTTGATCCATGTCGTACTAAATTGGCTAATCTCCTGCCGGGTTGCGGCGGCGCTGTTTCGTCTGTGTCCGGCAAGAGACTGACATCCAAAAGATCCTCTGCGAGGCGCAAAAGCAGGACTTCTTGCTCCAGATGCCTCCGGATCAGGCGGGCTCGGCGTGTATTTCGCGAGTCAAGGGTTTCTTCGTCTCTTGCTAGGGGTCGCCGCCCTCGCCCTTGACAACTCCTGTCCACAAAATCTGATCCAAGGGCGTCTTTCAGGCTCGCCACTTCAGCCTGGCAGAACCCTTCTTGCAACCTGGATTCGGAACGATACTGCCACTCCAGGATGGTCAATCGCAACGCCTCCTTCTCTTCGAGGTTGACCTGCTTGCTAAGCCACAGAGCATCCTCCTTCAACTCGTCACGGTTGAATTGTCCACCTGATGGGATTGTCGAAATTTGGGAGTCGAAGGTACCTTTTGACGAGGTGGACGGTGGGGGAAACACGGGGAACGTAGACTCCAGTATTTCTTTAGTGTGGTTACCGGAGAGCAGCTTGGTCACAAAGTCTCTCTTCGATTCGTCATGGGAAAAGACCGCGTCAAAGAGATCGTCCCAGGAACTGCATGTTTTCGTTAGCATGGCATTCGACCAATTTGTTGCGGAGGGGTTTTACAGAAGGAGGAGCTCGCCAACAAGACATTTCTCTATATTAGGGAAATAGTCCGGGTTCAGCGACCCAGACGCCATATCATCAGAGAAGATCAGCCTTTCGGAAGCAGCATTGACAGGGTTGTTGGTGGTTGAACAAGTGATTTGCAGGTATGTGTAAACGGCAATATTGAAACAAAAGCGCGTCGCAAGCAATTTCAATACTCCGACGTACTACGGTACCACGCCGAATGATCTGCCGTACTTCGCTTAGTCATTTCCACACTTCTCAGCCTCGTCTGCAATCACACGACTCGAACCTAGTTGACACTTTCGATCCTCTGGAGCACACTGCTTTGCTTTATCCCGACTTCTATCGGAATAGAATGGCCGACAACCACCATTCTTTTTTTTCTTCAGCCACATGTAAAGCCTCCGAGCCGCCTGAGAGCTATCTGAAAGCGAGAACAATCTCGATCAGGAAAGGGATTGGATCAGACACCCTTGAAGGCTGTTTTCCCGACTCTGTATAGCAGCAAGCAAGGCAGGGAAATGCGAATATGACACTGGCTGCTCTAGCTTTGTTCGTATTTTACAACCTCCTCGGCCTTCCAAAACGCAGTTCACAATCACCCAACACCAGATACAATGGATATGGTTTCAGAAGAGCTCGATGCTCACCTAGAGGTGAGAAACCGTCTTAAGACAAGGAACTTATGCATAGTATGGGCCAGAGCACGCCGCAGTTTTCAAGTCTTGCTATTGTTGTTTGAACGACATATCCATTTTCCCTTTTCACGTCTTGCGCAAAGGTAACCAGGTTGTTCAACACTATGATCTACCCAATACTCGTGTCAGTGTACATAATACGACAGTGTCCATGTGGGGTTTCGTCAGGTTCCTCACATCTTTGTCAGTGACTAGGACAACTTCTATTTGATGATGATCCAAAGAACTTGAGATCTGCCAGCTGGAAACCCTTAGAGCGTTCAAACCAGCTGCACTATGTGCGAGGCGACCGGAGCGTCTTGTCATATTGTAAGCAATGGACCTGACCATCCTGGTATCTCAGATAATTAGCTACAGTCTTGCATACAACGAACTGGTCTAATATACATCTGCGAATGCGGATGACGAGAGTTCAATGTTCGTGACCGCATCCTGTCCCTGGACTCCCTCTCTTAATCCACCGGCGGGTTTCCCGGATAAGTGATCTGTATACTTTTTATGCATTTTCATCTTGCATCGTCGGTATACAGGTTCCTCGACAAGCTAGTGTTTTTTCTGTCGTTGAATCAGTCTCTTCTTGAACACATCATCTCTCTTCTGTTCACTATATCATTACTTGTCTTTCATTGCGTACGTCTGATCTCCTATTCAGATCTTCACATTGCCTGGTTCTTACAACAAAGCATGTTTGCTGTTACTAGCGGCGTGTCACCTTCTTGATATCTACCGTCGTCAATTCATGAACATTTCGGACTGGTGCTCACCAGCTGGACCGGCTATTTTCCCTGGGACAATGTGAGTTCCTTCTGCAACTGCTCAGGAACTTCGTGTTGCGGCTTGTTATCCCATCCGAGCCCACGACTAGGCTGCTACGGCAAGATACCAAAGTACAACGATCCAAATTATCGGCTCCAACAATACTAAGGTCTAATAATGGAAGACGAAAAGAAAGTCAGAGACACGATGGAGGGGCGCGAACCCAGTTTAACCAAAGGTGAAACTGTCTCGACAAATGGGAACGATGGTACGACGGAGGTGCAGCAGCGGGCACAAAGGCAGAAGACGGGAGACTCAGAGGCTAAAGACCTTACTAAGGACGAACGAATCGAGTTGGCGGGTAAAGATCCATTGTCAACGCATGATCCGTTGTTCTCTTGGGGCTGATACGGCACAGGGCACGACATCGACGACGCGTGCGGGCAGTTCGAGGAGAAAATGAAGACCCGTGAGTGTGCTCCCCTGACTTTCAAGATCGCGCCTCACTCCCATAACATCATGATATTGAGTCGATATCGATCATAGGCGATTATCGACCCTTCGTCGACGAATCAGGCTTTGTGTACCGCTTCACATTGGTGAGAAAGGATATATTGAAGAACCGGCTTGCAAAACATCGTATGAAGGTGCGCTATGCGCCTCATTTCTCTTCCCAGCCCGATACCAATTACCCGATATGCCACGGAGCGGTTGAGGGCAAGCGTGGAGAGCCGGGAAAAGGTAGGTTGCCTCCACAATATCTGAGTCTCTTCGGTACTAAATAGGCCAGATATGCGTTTCAGGTGCTCTGAAGACCCGGAATTACGCTCGAGACTTCCTCCCTGTCCGGTGCCGATGTACATCTTTTCCAAACAATACCCATTTTCTCGGAACCCTGTGATTGAGAGCTCCCTGCCTCGACACCTCAGACCTTCAAACTCCAAGCTTCGTGTGCGCATTCCCGATCCATGGGCTTTGAGCCTGCAACTCTTTGAGTCAGACTCGGTTTCAGGTGGTCGGAGGTCCGCCCGGCGTTTTCCTTCCCTTTCCGGGCTCACAAATGCGGGAAGCCGTCGAGCCACCAAGTCATACGCATGCTACTCGGTCCACACGCGATCGGACATGATGTATGTGCAGACACTGGCTCCATCAGGCAGCACATTTGACTTTGCATGGGACATGTTCTGTAACTTCTTCAACAACAGGGTGGGCGCTGACTGGAATGATGTACAGGCGGAATTGACGGATATCCGGCGCGAACGACTCTTGAGCGAAAACTTGCGTGGAAAAGATGGAGCAGATGACGGCCAGCGCTTGTGGCTCCCAATATCAACAGCACCTCAGTGTGTCAATGAAGGTGACGCAGCTGCCGACTCTGTTGAACCTAGGAGGAGGAAGCCGAGCGTGACGGTGCTGATGCATAGTCATAAGACTATTCCGGATACCAACCTGGAGATTCAGGCGAGGACCCCAGAAAGCGGATGGTGAAGGCATATCGTCTACCAAGGTTTGCTGGAAACCATCGTCCGTTGACCGGGACACCAGCTGAGAGAGCTGTTGCATGGCAGTGTAAGACTCTGACATCGACCTGGTTCCGGGCACCGTCGGGTTTCAGAATGAGTTTGACCTCACAGATAGTCCTTCTTGCGGCTAGTTCTAGTGTATTGGGTCAAAGCCCATTCAACTTCGCCACCAGACTCCTTCTCCAACGTTCCACCTCTTATCTCGAAGCATCTCATGGTCATCCTGGGCCCGACTTCAGCCAATTCGACGTCCCTGTAGCCAGTCTGCACAAAAACGTGATGCCGTACCTCGATACTATCCTCGACATTCTTGAAGGTCACCACCCTGTTGCCAACCTTATGCGGACCATCCCGTGGAGGGAAAATGTGTTTGAGGATCTGAACCACTCTCTTTCCCAGCCGTGTCGTGAACCCCTCAAAGATCAAATGAGGATACGACTCGGATACTGTTCCTCTTGATGCATTGGGGATGTCCGCGCGGAGGACGACATTGTGGAGGGAGAAAGAAGCGGTTGGACCATGCGGCAGATGGGAAATGGTCATTGCGGTTGGAGTGCCTCGATGTTCGTGGAGCAAAATGATATCCGTGAGGGCGGCGGCCTTTGCGCTGGCAAGAAGATTGGGGAGGATCAAGTTTCCTCGGTTCAAGCGGATAGAGGTGGGCAGAAGCAAGCGGATTTCTTTGGAGAAGGTAGAGAGACGAGTCGAAGGGCTACGGGAGGTGGTGACAAGTGGACGAGGGTCGGAGAGACCAGACAACATCGAATATTCATCGTCCATAGACTCTTGTGCGGCGGCGGTTTCGGGATCCAGAGACTCATCGTACTTGAAATCCTTGCGCAGCGAACGGTCGTTGGCGATCGATGGGTCGAGCGGTTTGCCGGTAGCCAGCGACTTCTTTAGCAGTGCACGTTTCTCTGCAATGCTAGCATCTCGCAGTTGGATAGCGCGACGGTAGATATAGTCACGGCGCTCGCGGGCTTGCCGACGGAGCATTTTGCTGGTCTCAGAGAGGTGAAGAGATGGGAAAGAAAGGAGGACCGGGACTAGAAAATCGTGATACTCGGACTGTGGAAAGATAATTTTGGTGGAGAAATTTCGCCGCACTTCATCCGCATCGCGACTACCCACCTGCATATTCCTCCATCCCTCGCTTCACCTTTGGCCACCCCCCTTCACTGCAGATACTCTTGCAACCACAAACCCCTGCATGTTCGACAATAGGTCGCTAACGATCTCTGAGAACTGGAGACCGTCGGAGGGGTGTGGACTCGCGACGCTTATGTGAAAAGTGGGTGACCCTGTCGACTGCGCAGATCGGTCACCCTTCGCCTCAACCCTTTTTGCCGGAAACGACGCAAGTCCCTCTTTGATGTGAGACTGTCGGGACGCGGATACTATCAAGACTGGGTGTTTCAGGATGGAGGCGTTCAGCAACATGGGAAACCACTTGGTTTCCAACTCCGCAGCCGCTATCAACGCCATCGATGACATTTCGACCGTCGACCCGGATGAGAGCGTCCTGAGCCTGGCCAAGGGCCCTAGAAGACGTCAACATGATGACGACGAGTCGGAAAGCATAGAAGAAGACGATCTTGAGAGCCTCGCGTCCGCTGCTGTTGATGCGAATGGCAACAAACATGTCCAAAAGGCCGAGGAAGAGAAGGAACTGCCACCCCACGCCTGCGCGTATGTGACTATCTTACCTGTTCTTCACGAGACATTTCACTGACTGATCCTAGTTACTGTGGCATTCACAATCCAAGCAGCGTGGTTCGCTGTTTGACATGCTCCAAATGGTTCTGCGCCGCCCGTGGAAATACCTCTTCCTCTCACATCGTCAACCACCTTGTCCGAGCCCGCCACAAAGAAGTCCAACTTCACCCAAGCAGCTCCCTCGGCGACACTGTACTTGAATGTTACAACTGCGGAACCAAGAATGTCTTTTTACTTGGGTTTATCCCGGCAAAATCAGACACCGTCGTTGTCCTGCTCTGTCGTCAACCTTGCGCAGCGATGCCATCCTCCAAAGACATGAACTGGGACACCTCGCGGTGGCAACCATTGATAGAAGATCGTTCATTTCTGTCTTGGCTTGTTGCGCAACCAAGCGACCAAGAACAACTCCGTGCAAGGCACTTGAGTCCTCAAATGATTGCAAAGCTGGAGGAACTCTGGAAAGAAAATGCCAATGCCACCATCACCGACCTCGAAAAAGCGGCCAATATCGATGACGAACCCGCTCCGGTCCTCCTACGCTACGACGATGCTTACCAATATCAGAATGTCTTCGGTCCTCTAGTCAAGATCGAGGCTGATTACGATCGCAAGTTAAAAGAAAGCCAGTCGCAGGACAACCTGATTGTCCGATGGGACCTAGGCCTCAACAACAAACACTTGGCCAGTTTTGTTTTGCCGAAACTCGAACTCGGCGACGTCAAGCTGGCTGTGGGAGACGAAATGCGACTCAAATATACCGGAGACTTACGCCCAGCCTGGGAAGGTGTTGGCTATGTCATCAAGATTCCCAACAACCAGTCGGACGAAGTTACGATCGAGTTGCGAGCAAAGGGCGACCACAAGTCCGTGCCCACTGAATGTACCCACAACTTCACGGCAGACTACGTTTGGAAGGCCACGTCGTTCGATCGTATGCAGCTCGCGATGAAAACATTCGCTATCGACGAAATGAGTGTCTCAGGCTACATTTTCCATCGCCTTCTCGGCCATGAAGTTGCTGCAGCTCCCATGAAAACCCAACTTCCCAAGAAGTTCAGCGTCCCTGGCCTACCAGAGCTCAACGGTAGTCAGATCAATGCGGTCAAATCCGTCCTACAGAAACCTCTCAGCTTAATTCAGGGCCCTCCAGGCACTGGAAAGACCGTGACCTCTGCCACCATTATTTACCATCTGTCAAAGATCAATGGAGGTCAAGTTTTGGTTTGCGCACCCTCTAATGTAGCTGTCGATCAACTCTGCGAACGCATACACCGCACGGGACTGAAGACTGTCCGAGTGACTGCGAAATCCCGAGAAGATGTGGAGTCATCTGTTGGCTTCCTCTCCTTGCATGAACAAGTCCGAATGAACGACAGCAATGTGGAACTGGCGAAGCTGAACCAACTCAAATCCGAACTCGGCGAATTGTCGAGCCAAGACGAGAAAAAGTACAAGTCGTTAACCCGGGCAGCGGAGCGGGAGATCCTTCAAAATGCCGATGTGATATGCTGTACCTGTGTCGGTGCTGGGGATCCAAGACTTGCTAAGTTCAAGTTCCGCACCGTGTTGATTGATGAGTCCACCCAGTCAGCAGAACCGGAATGCATGATCCCTTTGGTTCTTGGCTGCAAGCAGGTTGTCCTTGTTGGTGACCACCAGCAACTGGGGCCGGTCATTATGAACAAGAAAGCTGCAAAAGCTGGCCTCAATCAATCTCTCTTCGAGCGCCTCGTCGTCCTTGGCTGTGCGCCAATCCGTCTGAATGTGCAGTATCGCATGCATCCCTGTCTGTCCGAGTTTCCGTCAAACATGTTCTACGAAGGATCGCTTCAGAATGGCGTTACTATGCAATACCGTCTCCGGAAAGATGTGGATTTCCCCTGGCCTGTTCAAGACGCACCCATGATGTTCTGGTCCAACCTTGGAAATGAAGAGATCTCAGCATCAGGTACCTCGTATCTCAATCGCACGGAGGCGGCCAATGTGGAAAAGATTGTCACGCGTTTCTTCAAAGCCGGGGTCAAGCCGTCGGACATCGGTGTCATCACTCCATACGAGGGTCAACGCAGCTACATTGTTAGCTCCATGCAAGCCACGGGGACCTTTAAAAAAGAGATGTACAAGGAAATTGAGGTCGCCTCCGTCGATGCGTTCCAGGGTCGGGAGAAGGACTTCATCATCTTATCATGTGTCCGGTCAAACGATCACCAGGGCATTGGTTTCTTGAGTGATCCCCGTCGTTTGAACGTGGCCATGACCCGAGCCAAGTATGGGTTTGTGATCCTCGGCAATCCCAAAGTCCTCTCTAAGCACCCACTCTGGCACTATCTCTTGCTTCATTTCAAAGAACGGAACTGTCTAGTGGAAGGCCCTCTGAACAACCTCCAGGTATCTCTGCATCAATTCAGCCGACCTAAGCAATCTTACAGGGGCCCACAACGCTATCAGATGGCATACAATCACGCTAGTCATATGGCAAGCGGCATGATGAACGGGCGAACGGCTCCGCGCAACGACTACCGCGAACCAGCAGGTTCGGTCGTTGGCTACATACCGGATGATGTTTCATCCATCCACTCCTCTGCCATGGGCGGAGTTGGTGTACCAGCAGGCTATCCCCCAATGTTCCAAGGCTTTACACCTGACGCATGGCCCTCTCTTCAAAACACTCACGCGCGCCGACAAAATGGAGTAAAGGCAAGAGCAGTCCCTAGTAGCGTGGCGGGAGAATCTACAGTGGCCACCGAATCCGACATTACGGGCAGCATTCTTGGACAAGGAGGGGTCAGTCTGGATCAATTGTCTATTCATGATGCCCATAAACAGCCCAGCTACAATCAGGCGGATCGACTCAAGAGATATGTGGAAGGAGGAGTCCCTGCATCTGGTGGCTACGTGTCGGGCCACAAACTCGGCAAGTTGATGCACGAAGATGAAGACGCCAGGAGCGTTTCGACTGCGTTTGCCAGTCAAGTTGGTGGCAGCTACGACTGATATTATTGCGATACCGCGACAAGATCCCAATAATAGTGAAGAACGAGCTCATTTGAGCATCTCTTTCGAAGTGTAGTCGTTATCAGCATAGGCGGCACCTATGAATAGATGCCGGTCACCGACTCGACGAGTGTCTTGTTCGCCTCTCCATGAGGGCACATGCTTCACCGTCTCCTCTCTTCGAGATCAGCTAGCAGCGCCGAGACTGCGGCAACAACGACCACGATGCGGCGCTCGCGAGGCTAGAGGCCACACGATTGCTTGAGACGAGTCCTTAGATTTTGCCAAGATCGGAAGAAGCCTAGTCAAGGAGAGAAGATTGAGAGTGGGAGGTGTTTGAGGCAACGGAGCAGGTGTGTTGCAGCATTTTGGGATGGAGTCGTCTGCCTGGTGGAACACTGCAGGTCTAACCACCATCGTACCGTTCCTTCTTGAGAACGGCAAGCTTAGGTGGTGGCGGCGTTGGTGATGGCAGCAGCAGCCTCTCAGGTAAAGACAAACGCAAAGCCAGGAGGAGCGGGAAGAGTCCCTGGAGAGTGAGCTGTGGTAAAGTTGATGGTCAGCAGAATGTGAATGAGAATGTTCGTGCTTTTTTGTCCTTTTACTTTTCAGATTTGTTGTGCTGTGGATTAATAGCACTTGGTCACTCATTCAACAACCCACGAAAGATAGTCTGTCGCTCTCTAATTGCCAATTTTTATCAATATTCAGTGGCAAAAACAGCGACCCTTCAGTCGCTTGTACCAGTTTTATATATTTAACGCACCAGGGAACGCCTGACTAATCGTTCGATCTAATGATATATGTAGTGCGTCGCGTTCCCTTTGCAAGTAGTACATCATCATGAGTGGTGGATCACGTGAAGGTATTACTGAGGCAAGCCAGCCACGGCGGCGTGGGAAGTCACTATCTTTCCCGATTTGTCTTAGCCGAATATACATGAGGAGCCACTCTTCCCTCTTTCCTCTTCCTTGCCCAACAACGTTCCCATCCACGAGATGGTGTGTGGAATGCGAATTGTCTTGATTGTGATAGATGGCTTTCATTTTGGCTAGCTGAAATTCCTCCAGTCAGGCACTCGATGGACTTATTATGCTGGTCAGCTTCGCTGGCCCTGCCAGACATATCGATGCCGCTTAGCAAAATCACGAGGACGTGCAGAGCCTAGTCGACCCAAAAGCATCTGCATTTCGTTGGGGACAATAAAGGATGTACTGATTGATATCTACTGAATGCTACGCTTCCTCCTGCGGCTGATCTTCCCAGAAACAAAGGCACCTGACCTCGATGCTCTGCCTGACGGGGCCATGATCTTCCTTGGCCGAGAAGGCGCAGTGCGGTGTCCGCCTTGCCACCCCATGGGGTTTCGAGTCAAACTGTTTGATCAACAGGGCCTCATTGGGGTTCATGCCCGAAGCATAATACCACTTGTGCGCACCCGTGTTGGCTTTGACCTCCCATGCCTCGGAGCGGGATTTGGCAGCGAAGTTGTAGCCCGTCTTTGCATTCCTGAGTTCCTCCGGCAGATCCGCGTACACGGCGGCGAGTTCGTTCTCTGCCACGGTCCGGGCGTCGCAGAGGGCCATATTGTCGCGGGTTACGTGGTTCAGCGGTCGCCAGAGGTTGATAATGGCCCAGCGAACCTTCTTGAGTCTTTCCGCCTCGGAAGCAGGAAGTTCTTCCAATTTGCTGTCGCGGACGAGTTCGGCGCCAAAGTACGACTGATCAACGTGGACTACATCGTTCGGTCAATGACGGGGCCCCTGGACAAAGAAACAAGAAGTGGGCTGCTTACCCGAGCGGTTAGCTGTGGGAGCTGTCACCGGCGCGTTGTCCGGCAAGTCTTTTTCGGCCTCGGCGACCTCGTCCCATTGGCGTCGACGGGTGATGTGAACAACAGGCAAGACCTTGGATGCCCCGGTACTGTGGCTATGGGTCAGCAGAATCCGGTTGGTGGGGAAGCCTCTCTCGGTCATACACTTTCTTCAGATGTGCGACCACGTCTTGATAGTACTGTCCCTTGAACTCGGCATCGTCCTGGACATCTGCCACGGACGTGTCGAACGGCCCAACAGCGAAACCCTGCTTGTCCAGGGTGAACTCTTCCTCGAATCCTCTCATGTTCTCAACCCTAACCTCTGCATGCTCGTGCGGTCGACGCTTGTCACGGACGGTCCCTGGACACCACACGGTCTCTCCACCGCGCTCGGGTTCAAGGTGGTAATTTAGAATGGTGGTGACGGCCTGAGGTGCGAGAACTGTTGCGGTTGCCATGATGATTATTCTTTATCGAGGAACGATCTTGTTTTGGGATTGAAAGTCAAGACTGGGCCCAGTAGTCCAGCGTGGGATGCTCAGTTATATCACTGGCACCGAAACCACAGTATCGACATCCCGGGCGAATTGAAGTCTCCCCTCTCTTCCGTTAGCCGGGGATAAAAGGCCTGACCATCGCTGAGACCCTGAGTGGCCGGGAATCTCGACCAAGTCAATGCCGTATTGGCAGACATCGCCTAGCCGGGGGTAATGAGATGGGCTAGTGAGGTTGTTCCCAATCGAGCAGCCGCGGATAAGGGAAAGGTCAAGCAATATCTCAGCATTGTGATTGGCGGACACGATGAAGGTGGAGACTGAGCTTCATCTGCTTTTAGTGCTTCTACACCATTAGCCGTGGATATCAATCGTGTCGCCAAGAAACTTGCGAGCCTGTGCTCGTCGATTGGATGGCTCGCGTGGCCAAGGGGAACCCCGTGGGGATGACATTGGATCCCCGGTTGTATACATATAGCCTCCAGAGGGCAGAAGGTGGCTACATTCTTCATCTCGAGGACAACTCTGCCCGGCATTATTGTCTGAAAATCCTTCTCATTCGACCTCTTTTGCCTCGGTTCCCCTTGATCAAATCTGTTTTGCGGCATTTTCAGAGCTATGCAACAGGGCGATATGGCAGCCGTGGGACCCGTGGATGAGATGAGGCGGGAGGAGAAAGGAACGACATATCACCAGCATGAGGAGATTGGAGGATCCCCAGGAACACCCAGCGAGGACGGCATCCCTCGTGACCTGGAGAAGAACCCTTCGCACATGGCAGGTTCCGAACTAGACCAGGTTTCCTCAGAGGATGGCGACAGCTATGTGACGACCAAGACGTGGATGGTCGTCATGGTACGTTGGCACTCACTCCCCTCAACCGACTTTGCCGCATCCCCGTGCCAACTAAACTTACACTAGACTCTCTCCTTTGCCTATGGCATATCGTTCTGGCCCGTGCCCTTCTTCAGCACGATTCAGTCCGAGATTGCTGCTTCGTTTGGATCTTCCGCAGGACTTGGTACTTGGTAAGTCCATAACCCACCCCGGACACTGTCATGGTCCATGTGTGACTGACTGACTGGCTGACCGAGACCAGGTTCACATCAAGCTACATTGCCGCCGCCACCATCGCCTTCATGATCTGTGGCGCCAACAGCGATCTATTCGGCCGACGGGCCTTCCTGCTCATGGGCAACGTGCTTGTCCTTGTGGGAGCCATTGTCGGAGCCACTTCGCACCACATGGGCCAATCTATTGCAGCTCATGTGCTGATCGGTTTTGGGGCCGGGAATTGTCAACTCACCACCTTTGCCATTCCGGAGCTGCTCCCCAACAAGTGGCGGCACATCGGAGTCGTCATTGCAGATGGAGTTGCATTTTTCAATGTCATCGCCGGCCCTGTCACTGCCCGAATCGCCATCCGTCATGGCGATGCTGTAAGTCTTTACTCACCCAATCTTACTCTGAGTCCGTCTCAATGCAATCGTAACTAAAACGCGCCAGTGGCGTTGGGGCTACTGGGCTATGGTCATCACCATCGCAATCTCCTTGCTCATCCTCGTCTTGTACTACTATCCGCCCGCCCACCCGAGAGGGATCCCCTGGGGTCAAGCTCTTCGAAATCTGGACTACGTAGGTATGGCGAGCTTCACGATCAGTGCCGCAATGGTGCTTTCTGGCATCGTCTACGTACAGCTGGTTCCTTCCGACGACCCCAAGGTGATTGGTTTGCTGGTTGCCGGCTTCGGATGCCTTGTTTTCTTCGCTCTGTGGGAGACGTTTGTGCCTCTCAAGGAGCCGCTCACTCCACCCCGGCTGTTCACCGCAAACAAGGGTCGGAGAATGACAGGCCCATTCATCGTCGGCTTTGTCGTCACCATGTTCTATTACGGAACTAACATCATCTGGGGCGAGATGGTCTCGTTGTACTTTACCCACACAGACACTCCCCCTCATACCGTCTATTGGCTTGCTACCGTGCAAGGATTCGGCATCCTGCTGGGCGGCGTTTTCCTCTCCGTCGCCGGAAACTACTTCAAGCATTGGCAGTGGCAGATGGGTCTCTCGATTGCGTGGATGACTCTCTTTGGCGGTCTCCTGGCCTACGTGACTCCGGAACGCGAGGGCGTCGGCATCGCCTTTGCCTTTCTGTCGGCCGCCGGCTTCGGCTACGCCCAATACCTGTCAATCACATATATCCAATTCGGCGCCGACCAAATCGAACTGGGTATTGCCGGCGGTCTCGCAGGGGTGTCGAGAGAATCCGGTGGCGCTGTCGCCGTCACGTCGTTTGAGACCATTCTGGTCCATGTCCAGCAGCGATACGCCCGACAACATGTGGCCCCTGCGGCTCAAGCGGCCGGTGCTTCGCCCCAGGTTGCTCAAGCTGTTGCCGCAGCGCTGCCACTTGGTGCTGCCGCCCTGGAGACAGTTCAAGGCATCACTCCAGCCATTGTCTCGGCAGCACAGGCTGCTTTCCTGGAGAGCTACGTACAAGGTTTGAAGTGAGTTTGCCATCGCATCCGATACTTTGCACGATGGCTTGGACTTCGCTGACAGGTTTCATTGACTAGGACCGTCGCACTGACTTTGACCGGCTTCGGGTGCGTGGCCATCATCGCATGCTTCTTCATCGAAGACATTGGACCAAGAATGAACCAGAAAATCGAGATCTTCCTGGAGAACGATGTCGAAGCTCACAAGAACAAGTATCACTAGCCTGGGCACTTCGTCTTGACGGTGGAGCTCGTGTGGTGAATTTTCTATCTCTCTGCGCTCGCGCTACAGTGAATGTTTCAACATGGTATGCATCTTGTAGGCGGCTCTTTAGGACAAAGTTTATATCACTCAGCCTAGTACAATAGTTCTTCTGCGGTCGTGCACGGTCACCAGCAAACCGCTTTTGTATCCAGGCCGTGGAGCAAGCTTAAGTCGAGAGATGGCTGCCTATTTCAGCAAGGGTTTAGCCCCTTGATGGGATGAAGACGCTGGTACGAGGAATGATAGCGTCCATGGGGTCGGCAGAATCCGGCCCAGCAATGAGCCTCATCATGATCCGTGAGAAGTTGGAGAGGAGTGTGGCATCCCAACTTGCTAGTGGGAATAGATATTCGTACTTAGGCACTCTTTGAATCACTTCCGGGATTCACAGCGTTGAAGAAGCGTATCCGTCAAGCAATTGACAATCCCATCGCTTGATCAAGTCATGCAACAGGATCCATGCTTATGCCAAGCACCCTCGACTCTCTTTGCACCCACATCTGTTCAGCGTACCATGCCAAATTCGGGGCTCACTCGCCACTCACTGAACCCATAGGTGAATCTATTCGTCTCTCTCAAATCATCCCCCCGGACCCATCTCAGCCAACGGGGCCGTCTGGAATAGGAATGCATCATCTTTTCCCTGCGTAGTTTCGAACTCAGCCTGTCCATCGTTGAATATCTTTCCTGCAGCGTGGAGGGTTCCCAGGCTATCAAAATCGAGCTCGAAATCATTTCCACGGTCGTTCATGTTCGTGGTGGCCGAAGTTAACAGGCCCATGGTTGACACATTGTTTGCGGTGTCCCCAACGTCGAACATCAAATTTTGCGAATAGTCAGGCATGTGAATGGCGTCTTGGAGGTGATCGAAATGCAGATTCGAGGAAGGGATCGCAGACGCAAAAGAAGGATCCGCCGGGTGATCGGCGTTGTCGTCACTTCCCATCGCGCCAGACCCCGAAGCTCCTTCATTGTGTCGGGTTGTCGAATTCACAATCTGATCACCAGGTGGCGGTGCTACCTGGCGAGGCTCCGAGAGCGAGGCAGCGGGATACATTCGCAAGTCAGTACCGGTCATACTGCAATTCTCTCTGTCTTCGTCTGTTTGGGGCGCCAGGGGGCCGATTTCTGTTCGCAGTATGGCGGCCTGGAGGAATGCGGTCGAATAGTCTGCTGCCGGATACATGTCGCGCAGTCCAGCCATGACCTCCATACACTTGCCGAAATCTTGCAAGCTGTTGCGGGGCAGGAACTCGTCCGGCGCCAAAACATCAAGCAGATGCGTGACAAGAGCGTGAAGGATGACCGTGATGCTCGGTGATGGGAGATAGCGTACCAGGTCTAAATTGGAAAGCGTGCTGGCTATCTCGGTGATGTTATTCGCTGCTCGTCGGACAGTGTCGCGAGACAAGTCGACGGGATTGGAGCGCGACAAAGCCGGTAGCATTCCAGGCGGAGGTACCAATTGTGGCCGATGCAATGATGACAGCACGGCATAGTAGAGCATGTGTAAGAAGGCGCGGTGGAGAAAAAGCGGCCCATTTATCGAGTCGATATTATGGAGGTCAGTCGGCGTAGCGAACTGTGCTGCTTCCGGGAGTCTGTTCTTCCATTCCTGCAAGGCCCTGGCGCTGGTTTGTATCTGATCACCGCCAGGCTCTACTGACTCGGTGAATAGCATATTAGACGTCCATGTACAAGCCTTGGAACTTGTGACCCCATTTTGCACCGAGAGAATATGACCAATGCACAGACATAGCTTGGCCATCTCGATGCATATAATCGCAAATTGTCGCTGCTGCTCCGTATCTCTCAAGACTTTGCAGTCGGCGGGGACGCAGCATGGTCCATCGGACAGTGTATCAAGCTCGAAGTCCGCCAATTGTAACATTGGCACGTCAAAGACGACATCCTTCATGCGAGTCATGCGAGTCGATTTTCGTGTGCCTAGTGAGACTTGGGCGTCACGCATGACGGCCGACCACCAAATCCTCTTATGAAGTTTCTGCTGCCATGGCTCTAATGTTGTAGAATCCTCGGGGTTGCGGTGGAGCCCAATCTTGTGAGCAAGGGAAACAGCATTTTCAATCCAATAATGGGTTTCTTTGCGGCCGTGCGGGCTCTCCCGCCAATAGGTCATTAGCAAGAGCGCTTGGATCAATGCTATTGAATCATCCTCGTAGTCAAGGTCGTATAGAAGTCGGGCTTTCTCGTAAAAGACACGCCTTGCCTCACGTCGGGATCTGTACCCCGCAGCTTCGAGGAGACGCATGGCGACCGTAGCAACTCCGGTGAACATGACAGCCTGGAACAGCAGCAGGCTGACGGTGTGTACTCCATCATTCTGATCGACAATTCGCACCAGTTTGTGAAAATCTAGTAATGGCATCAACGGATGCATATACTCAGCGTAGTTGCGCAGGAGCTCATCCCGCAGCTCTAGGGGGGGTATTGTGAGTGCACCTTTGTTCTGCAAGTATGTGATATCGTCTTGTCCAAATCGAGCCGGTAGTGGCTTGATGAAAGCAGGCAGTGCCGGCCCTGTCAGATTTTGGGGCGAAGGTAGACTGTGCATGAGAGGCGCACCCTCGAGCATCGCTATCATGGGGTGAATATGCGGTTCGAAGTTGAAGGGAATGTTCGAAGGTGCCATAGGTGTGGCAAGACGAATCGCACTTGGTTCTGGAGAGAACAAGCTGGTATCCGTCAACATTCTACTCACACCAGTCTCAAGTGAGGAGTGAGGGAGTTGATCGTGCCAATGTCGCACGGGCGGATAGGGTGCGTCTGATGCCTGTGCAGGAGCAACAAAAGGCAGCAGTCTGCCGCTGTTACTGGTATTGCCTGCTGCAGTTGTGTCCGTGGTCCTCTTTCTGCATGAAAGTCAGCGATTTGACGGCGCTACGGTACCGATGTGGCCTACTTCTTGCGCCTGCTCTCGCCCACAATGCACGCGATCTCATCCAGTCTGCAATGGACGCATGGAATGCCATGCTTGGCCACATTACAACGGATCTTTCGCCCTCGACAGCTTTGACATGCTTGCGGTGCCCGTCGTTTCACACTTTTCGGTTGTGGTGGGTAGTTGGGCCGTTGTTCCGGCTCGGATTGCGAGTGTGGTTGGCTTGAGTTTGGAGGCAGGGCAGGCAACGACTCCGCTGGATGGTTAAGTGCTAGCACCATGGCTTCTGTGCGAAGAATTGAACAGTGAATTTGCTGTTGCTTGGCCGATTCAGGAGGACAAGCATAGATGCAAGTCGACAAACGAAACAAAAAGCCTAGGTACTACTAGGTAGGTAAGCGAGCAGTTGGTCTCCGCAATCATGTGCCGTCGTGCCGCACTTCCAAGTTGCTAACAAATACCCCGCATGAAGCCGCACTGTTTGGCGGGGAATTTCCCCTGCAGAATCCTATCATTGTCCGTGTCGGGGCGAATATTGCTGGAAGGACGGAATGTAGGGTCAGAACAGAACAACATCACACCTGTGGATCGATGTGAGCTTTACCCCAGATTAATAGTCGCTTAGGCACGATGCGAGAAACCTAGTCCCAGGTGTGACGCAACCCTGATCCGCGACTCTAGTGAGTTGTTCCTGGATGGCCTCGAAAAGACGGAGACATCTCGCATATGTCGCAATAGCAGAGCACGAGCCTCGTCAAGATTGTCCTGGTGAATACAATTATCGTCATATGGGACGGTGAAGATTGCCGCATCGAACGCCAAAGAACTCTGAATCATTGTCTTGGTGAATTCGGCCATAGATGACCTTTTCATAGAAGCAGAGATTCGTCTCTGCGAGTCAAATCGCATTGGGGGAAATGGCGGCAGAGCGCTATCATCGAGTGTCAAGCCGTTTGTCAGAATCGCCTCTCGCACATGTCCTTTGCAGAAAAAGTCTTCGAGTAGCTCCGAGGGCTGGACAGTGAATAACATTCTACCACGACGATAAGTAAAGGCGCACATGTACAACACGCCTCTTGCCAGGTTGAGTTGAGCTTCTCCCTACAAATAGGTGCTCGGGTGATCGGCGAGTCGGTGACAGCGGAGCCGACATCTTGGAAGGCTTGGTACCACGTGATAGCGCGAGCTTGTCACCGTGTCACCCTCACAACTCGTCGTCGCCCTCGACCCACAGGCCGTGATCGAGGCTCAGGAGGTTGTTCGTTGGTGAAACACCTCGTTCCCTCAAACACAGGCAAATCTCAATCTGATACACGACCAACACCTTTAGTTGCTTCTCTCACGCTTAAACACCTCCCAACGCTGAACAAAATCCCTCGATTCGACTTAGTCTCTCGTCTCGATGGGTTATCATGTAGCAGCCTCGTTCAGCCGCTTCACTGACCAACTGGATCCCAGGGTTTCGGATCTGTCGTGCTCCGACAGCAACTCCTCGTCAACAATGACAATCCCTCCGTCATAGGTAGGCATGGCAAGCGCCTCCTTGGTAAAGGTAAAGTATGTGTGAGACACCCGTGGCCGAGTAGCTATTTGAATCTTCCTTCCTGCGCCGAAGTCAGCTTTTCGTCTCGTTCGTTTCCATTCTTTTGCGCAGTTGATCTGCAGCAGGCTCGTCACTTTCTCAGTCGCACCAACTCGAGTAAAGGAAAAAGTCAGCCATTCTTTGGGGTCACATTGCCTATCAGTCACAATTCGCAGTCATGACCACCGAACCCCTGCCTGACCGTCAAGCGCTGCGAGAGGCTTTTGACCACGAGATCTACTCTTCCTCTGGGACGACGCTACGATTTGGCTCCCTGTTCTACGACTGCGATGTCTTTCCCGCCGAGAAACGAATCCTCGTCGTCTTCATCAGGCATTTCTTCTGCGGGAACTGCCAGGAGTACGTCCGTAGACTGTCTTCGATTGAGTCGCCGTTTCATCCATCTCAGAAGTCGCTACATGCCTCCATGTCTGTAGCTTCTACGACAAACTTTTCCAAACCTGCTTCTCGTACCCTCCCTACGGTCATAATCGTCGGGCCTGGCCAACCTAGTCTGATTGCCTCCTACAAGAACGTCACACAATGTCCTTATGACATCTACGCCGACCCCTCCTTGCGCCTCTACGAGCTCTTGGGAATGTATCGCACACTATCCCTTGGCCACAAGGCCCCCGGGTACATTGAGCATTCGCTCTTAAGTGGTGCCCTGAAATCTGCCTGGCAAATCGTCCGTCGTGTCGGCAATGGGGATGCCATGAATGGGGGAGACTGGGACATCAACGGTGGCGAGTTTCTCTTTGTTAGGTCTGCGTCAGGTAGACCCTCTATGGGCTTGAAATCTACCTCACCTTCAAGGTCGAGATCGAGGTCCAGGTCGAGAAGTGCCCAATCCCAAGATTGGGATGTGTCGTGGTGCCATCGCATGCTCAACTCCAGAGACCACACCGAAATTATCAACCTGCAATATCATGCCTGCCTCCCGGAACTGTCATCTCGAGCAAACTCACGCACCTCATCTCCTGCACCACTGAAGTCGATCTTGGTCAATGGCGGCAGGGCACATTCCAAGACCCCCTCAGGAAGCTACTCGACCGAGCGTTTGGGCTCTTGTCCAGGTCCAGATGTTCCTAAATCTCGCGAAGAGGTTATTGCAAGCCAGCGTTTCAGCCGCCCGCACTCCAGAAGTCACTCAAGGCCAAAGTCCCAGCATCAGCGCCGACCGCGAAGCACAAGCACCGGTTCCCTCGTGAACAAGACAGAAAATCAAAGTCACAGGAGAGTATGGTCAGTTCTCAGCAACTCAAGCACATCGCGCTTGGATAGTGTGGCCAGTCCCATCTCCGAACTCGCTGAAGAGGACTTCAAGCCGCGAAAGAGCTTCTCGGCCACAATTGCAGAGAGGGCGAGTTTTGGTGGGCTCATAAAGCGGCCGAGATCGTCTTCGAGTCCACAACGGACAGAGACTTCCCCTGTCGTGGTCAACGCCATCAGAGAAGCCGGGAGGAACACTCTATCTGAATCGACTTACGGTTCCACTGCCTCTAAATCGAGTATGACACCAGATGCCAATCACAATCCTGGCAACAACAACGACTTTAAGCAGACATTCAACGACCTCATTCTCCCCTCGTCCTCCTCATCACCCACCACCACACCCTCACCCCCTTCCGATCGCATTGCGCCGAAATCTCAGCGCACTCATGCACGATCAAGAACATTCTCCTTTTCCCGACCGAGTTTTCCCTTGCGAAGAAGGGCGGCGAGCCAGATCGAGATGAGCGAGGACGGCGTCATGTTTGTCGACGGCGTAGAGTTCGTGAACGTCATCAGCATCAAGGCACGGATCGAGGCCAGCAGCGCACGAGATCAGAGAAGGGAAAGGGCAGACAGTGGCCTCGGCATGGAAGTCGAAACACGCCATGACAAAGCAGCTCCGAGAAAAGAAAGCAACGCAGAGGTCCCAGACAGCAAAAAGAAGTACTCCGTCCTGACTACCCTGCCAGAGCTCTCCGCTGTGACAAGACAAGGCATTGGAGAGCTGAATGCTGCTTGATGGGCTGCCTTGGGCTGATGGCATTGTCCACATGAGACGGAATAGGACTAGAGAGGATCGACTGACCGGAAATTTTCGCCCTTCGGTGTTTGCTCCCAGGGTTTCTATGCGCCGCGGGACTGGCAAAGCAAGGTTAACGTGCAGCACAGATCTGGCTCGACGAGAGGATGTCACTGGGATTCGAAACACAGCGCTCTAAGAACACGCTCAGGAGAGCCGATGATGAATAGGAAGAGCCTCGAGTTTATATTGAAAGTAAAATCTGCGGCAAGCCCGCATAGTGCTATTGACTGCAACAGGGAAAAATGCAGACGATAGTCGAGCTCTGAATACTCAAGTTGTATGCATCATCCCGGTAGTTGAGGAAGACCCCTCAATAAATCTAAAATGCATATTTTCCAACTGCACCTCTCTGTCCATAGTCCCGGAACGAAATTCGTCGTCAGGTCTTGTCATTTAGTCATGATGCGGTTGCTCGGTCTGTGGGTCATTCTTTTGTCGTGCGAATATACGCTGGTTCTTTCAACGCCACCGTCGAACATCAGAGGGCATTGCTCGCGATTGCTGGAGATGTCGGCACCGGTCTTCGACTCAAATCAGAGTCGGTATGACTCTCTTGGAGAAAGGTATAACCATTCCCGTTCCAAGTTCTGGGGTCACCATTGACATGACGTATCTGCGTATTGGATTGTGCAGCAGGGTCTGGTAAATCAAACTCAGGGGTGTGTGAGAGAGGAAAGGTAGGTAGTGAGGGGGTCGAGAAGCTGGCAAGCGTTCCAGAGCTGAAAACGTTTGCCTGTATACTTTGACTGGAGGGATCTTGGGTGGCTGCCTCGTCCAGACTCACAAATGGTTCTTGGGAGTTGAAAGGCGGCAGAGTGTCAGGGAATCCACTGAGTAGTGGTGGGCTGGTGATCGAGGACATATCTGCATTCATCGATGGTGTTTGCAGATTTGATTGAGGTTGGAAGATGGGGAGGTCATGGGCGTTTGGCATGGATGCCACTCTGGCTTGGCCAATAGCATAGTCGGTTCCATAGGAAGCCTCAAAATCTGTCCAGCTGAAGGAATTGTCTCCCAGCTGTCCATCTGAGAAATTCCACGTACCATTGGATTCGTTGGGTAGAAGGTCCCACGGGGTTGGAGTGTCTGTTAATGGATCGGCATATACCTCATTTGGAGACATGCCCATCCTACTAGACGGTGAGTGTACATTTGAACAATGTGAACTGAGAGGCCGGTTACTCCAGGAATGCTGCTGTATAGGGTATGTCAAATAAATGGCATTCGGGTTCAGTGTGTCTGAAAAGAACTGCTGCAATTGGTGTTGAGATACAGCGGGCGTTCTAGACAGGAAAAAGGATGGTTGTCCGCCCATACATGACCTTGGGTTGTTCTGAGACATAGCAGGGACCGGAGTTAGACTTTGGTTCCCAATATATGCCTGCTCTGCGAGGTTCTTGACTTGTCGCTGGGTGTGATTAATTGACGTTGCGTTGTTGGGATGATCGGGACAGTAAAGACAGGAACAGCCAGATCCGCAAGAACAATTGGACTTCCAGGATGCTCCTTCAACTTCAGTTTGAACTTCCTGGGCACGGTCGGGCTCGGGTTTCACAAGGACGGGATGAGGCTGTATCGCTGCAACGTTTTGACGATGTCGACAACCACCTTTGGGTGACTCGGGCTCAGCATGGGCTTTTCCAGAACCACAGCAGGACGGCTTTGCTTCGTCCGACCTGGCCTCTTCACGCTCCTTCATGCGTCGTTTCCGATCTTGATATTCCTCATCGTCGATTTCTTTCCCATTGGCATCTGCCCAGACCTTTTTCAGAGTCATCTTATTGCCGTCGGCATCTTCCCAGACTGGTTTTGGTGTCGATGTTGCATCTCGACTAATAATGGCAGGGTTATCCACACGAACTATCAGATACATCTCCTGAGTACAAGCACAGTCTCTCTCACACTTGCAAGCTTTTGTTGTGCATGCGCAGTTCCTCGGACAGTGGCATCCTCTCTTCTGGCCTGCTGAAGGACGACCGGGTTGGTTTGTTTCAGAGATAGGTCTCGTTTTCCCATGGTCACATTTATGAACCCGATGGCCTCTTTTGCAAGACTCGCAAGCGTATGTCTTGCCATTGATATGTTGTATGGCGGGTGTCTCGTTTTTGTAGGAGGCTTTTAGCTTTTTGACCTTGCCATCCTCGACTCTGGAGTTGCCCTTTGCAGGACTGCCGACCTTGGGCGGAGAGGTTGAGGGGTCTTGCATCGTTCAGCGGCGTAATGTAGCGACCCGAGTGTGGCTGGTTGGTGTTACCGCCGTGAAGTGAGGACAAACGTTCAGGGGAAGTGGGCAGCAATATAGACTCGCTTTCTAATTGGATCTATCGGGTACAGTTCGTGGTCTGATCGGCAAGGGCGGCGTCAGTTTGTTGGACCAAAAGGTGTCACTGAAAGGACGAGGGGCGACCACATGTTTACTGAGGGGAGCGTGTCGAGTGTCATGGACTAAGGGGAGGTTGAGAATTGAATATGGCCTCTTCCACATGGAACAACCCAAAGAACAATGGTAGTGGCGTTATGGCGGAGTTGAGAGCGTGAGACCTCCTCAGGGACTACAAGCTGAACTTCAAATAGAAGCGAGTCACCGATACGGGATCCGCACAGGCGCTGTCCCAATAGAGAGGGAAAAAAGTATTAGTGGTTGAAGTTCCCGTGCTTGATGCCCCCAAGCTTATGCAGGTCAGCCGGCGCCTACATTCAGCCTACCTATCTTTGAGCCAGTCATCTTTGGTTACGTTTGTACATTTTTTTGTTTTGTCTCCGGTCTTGGTTCCGTTCTCACATACCAACTGACCATGGGGGTGGACATGACCGACAACGACAATAAAAGCAGAAAGGGGCCTCGTCCAACGGCTGAGAAAGATACCCCATCGTCTTTCTCTTGGTCTCTTCCTCAGCCCCTTCGTCGCATCTTCGATCGATTTCCGCTCGTCACATATCCTGCCAATCCTTTGCCGCAGCGCGTTCCTCGACATCGACACGAGAACATCCTCTGCATTTTCCAGTCTGATGAGCCAAACTCTCGAGATGGCCCCTCCTTCAATCCATCTTGTCTGAAATGGCAAGCCTACCTCAAATTCCACGGCATCCCTCTCCATACTCGGCCATCTAATAATCATGCCTCCCCTACCGGTGCTCTACCTTTCCTCCTGCCTGCCTCGAGAGATGCCAGTCGACCAGCTTCTCCTGTTCCCGCCAATCGATTAGTTAAATGGGTCGTATCCCAGGGGGGAAAGGAAGAGACTGTACACCTTCGCCAGGACGCATACACGGCATTGATTGATCATGCTATTAGAAGTGCTTGGCTCTACTATTTGTATCTCGACGAGGACAACTTCAGGGCTGTCGCATGGCCGCTGTACGTTGCACCGTCCTCATCATCCTCGGCCGTCCGCCTAAGTCTAGCTCGTCAGCTACAAGCTGCTGCAAGAGAAGAACTGCGAAAAACAAACACTATCATCGACCCCCAGCAACTCTACTCCCAGGCTGAACAAGCATTTCGGTCATTGTCTATACTGCTAGGCGATGATAAGTTTTTCTTTGGTCAATCCACGCCAGGCCTTTTCGATGCCAGCCTCTTTGCATACACCCAAATTATTCTTGACGAACACCTCTCTTTCAAGACACGGACACTAAACTCGTCCTTAGAGAAGCACCAAAACCTAGTCCGACACAGAAACCGCCTCTTGCGCGGCTTCTTCTCCGATTGAGGGACTGTCATGTAATTTTTTTCCTGAGAATACCTCCAAACCATACTGTTATGCCAACCCATTTCCCTGACCTTTGTCCCAGGGTTGCTACCATTGACTCATCCACAGTCTTCTCTTTGATCTGTCCAAGCACTTCAAACCCGCTTTTCAAAGCGGCCGCTTCGACTTCAACCAATGTATGGGAGTAGCTGGTTGGACGAATCTTTTCACCCGTTTTCGGATCGATGAAACCAGCCTGGCTGATTTTGCCCATTTCTGAGTGCATGTTTGTCAATACTAAGATACCCCCGGGTCTGAGGATTTTGGCGACTGTGCTGAAGAAGACGTCCGCAGGGATATGTTCGATGACCAGTGTCGACACGACGGCATCCGCGCCGATGGCACACTCTGGCGGCATTGACTCTTGCACCATGTCATAAACCTTGAGTTGCAGCTTGCCACTTGCGTGGAATTTCTGCAGTCGTTCTTTTGCCACCTCGAGCATGCCAGGACTGAGGTCAAGCCCAACTACTGACGCAGCACGTTCCACCTCCAGCAAAGCTGCTGTGTTCCTGCCCGTTCCACAGCCCAAGTCCACCATTGTCCACGGTCGAGGATAGGAGTCTTCATCTAGAATTTCGAGCATTCTTGGCATGAGAGTTTTCATCTCGATCGTATCCAACGCCTGCAGAAAGTTACCATCTGTGTCATACACAGCCGACCAAAGATCGTAGGCTTGCGTGGTGGAGAGGTAGCGGGTCGTGGGATCAAGAGACTGTGGTATCACTTGAGACATGGTGATAATAACTCGTCTCCGCACAAATGCCTTCGTGGTGTATCGCGCCTCCTCAATAGCCAGACAGAGAGCAGGAATTGCCAGCAGAAGCGGGCGGGCGAATACGGTCTTCCTCGAAAGAATATACCAGGATTGAAGCGGCCGACGCTAAAAGTGGAAGAGGAAATTGTGAAGCAAGAGGTTTCTGATCAATTTTGTAAAGTTTCTCCGCAAGGCTGCCAATCCCCTCTCTCGTGAATGAGTCACATTGCTCCTCGAAGCATATAAGGCCTTGACAATTAGAGCAAAATTATTCGCAGGATCGTACCGAGGTATGCAGCATTCGTGTTGAAGTGTATTGATGGTAGGTAGCAAGTCGCGAAGGGCGGAACAAATCAGAGCCTGAACCTTGACATCGAATGGAGAGTCGTCTTATATTTGGATGTCTCCCTACCAACCAGAGCATGGAAGATTTGTCCTTCAAATTGGTCACGGATTGTAGAGCGAGTATGCAGAATCCTGACCACCCCAGCACAGCATACGAAACGCCTCACTTGAGCAGACTCGATATCATGTTCAATGGGTATCTTGCAAACGGGTTCATGCATCTTCCACTTCGTTACTAGTCACAGCTTTGCCGTCAGATAGCACCAACGCCAAAGACACCTCCTCCCTCCCTCAAGTCCTCCACCAAATCCTGCACGTTACTCAAATGCTTCCCCAGCAGACTCTGTTTTTCCTCGGTCGTCCTGGTATTGCCAGAGTCTTTTGCATTCGCACCTTTCCCACCCACGCCACCACCATCGGCACCGTTGACCGTCTCCCCTCTCCTGCGATCAAAAGCGGCAATCACTTCCTTCCCTCGCCCTCCCAAAATCGCGGTGTTTGTGGCAGATGTTGAGCCCGCAAGCTTCGAGGATGTAGTTTCGGGCATGAGGTAGAAATAAAGGAATTCAACCAGTTTCAATTTTACCTCGCGGGAAGTTCCTCGGGACTTGAACAAGGACGTGATTACCAGCAGGCCGTCAATCGATTCAAATGTACGAGTGTTCTGGGGGTTGTCGAGTAATGAGGTCACAAGGGCCATAATTGTAGAAGATTGGATGGCGGGACAATTTGAAGGGTCGAGAAGGTCGAGAAAGAGCTGGCGACGTTAGGTTCTGGAGGGTTGATAGTGGTGTCGGACCAAGACTCACGTTCATGTATATCTCCTGCGAAAACAGCGCTCTCGAAGGTGGATGAAGCAGGAGGACTCCTTGAATCAGATCCAACGTCTGAATGATTAACAGATCATTCGTCCCATTACTTTCTTTGCCCAGGAGTCTCTCCAGGCATGCAACCAGCCTCATCGAAATGTTCCATTGGAAGCTCTGTTGTAGTTTGAAGAATTCACGAAAGGCTGGGTCTGAAGGCAGTTCTGAAAGGTTCTTCGAATGAGGCGAGGAAGGACTCGATGATCCCAGGAGAATCATCGACTGGCGTTTGTTTGCGGCGTGGTTGGTTCTGGACAAGCATAGTTGTGCAAGCAAGCCTTCTACCTGGCGGAGTCCTTTACGGATTTTCTGAGGAGAACTCGAGGAAAGGTAGTCGAAGGAGTGTGATAGCAAAGCCTCCATTATGGTTAAAAGCCCACTGGGGTATAGACCTGATTGAATTTACACGTTGCGGGCTATAGCACGTCGTCGAAGATAAAGATGGGAGAGAAATGTACCTGTGCTGCGTGCAGGTATCAACAAGACAAGTTGTCAGGGCGACCATGCGGGGGATGCAGCTAGGGGACCTCCAGTTGAGTCCTCGGTCCACCTACCACTGGCGCCACCGGTGTCACTAGCAGCGATTGCACAGCAGTTGACGCCCCGTACCGCAGCCCAGATCAGCTGGGTTGATAAGCGCCAGGCACCCGAATAAGCCACGCTGAGAATCGGTGCCTAGCGGCTTCATTGTCGTCATGACCTCTCATGTGATGACCCTGTTTAGATAGCCTGTGTTTCCCGCCTTGGAGGCACCTTCTCACCAGCATCAGATCAAAACCGCTGATGCCACCCATTTTTCGCGCCTTGAGTCTTCCTCTCGTCCACCAGCCCAGACTCGTTTGCCAATCTCTCCAGACTCCTCCGGTCCTTCTTCTGCTTTCTCACCAGGGTTGAAGCTTGCGTACTCCAAAAGCACGATCTGCACAATTCCCCGCCTCATCCCGCATTTTCACATGCAGTCTTTTGCAGAATAGAATCAATACGCATGTCGACCATCTCAACAGAAAACCCGACTTCTCCCAACGCGATTCCAATTCGCTACAGCTCCGCCGGTGTCTTCAATGGCCTTCACCAACAGCCTTCGAAATCCGTCCTCAAACCTCTACCAGAGGATTCCTGGATTTCGTCGAAGCACCATTCGTTGCCGCCAGCGATGAATCCCGCCCCCGTTCTGTCTGACCATACGAACAGCCTCAAGCGCAGACATTCAAAGAAACGATCTGCCCCGGAAAACCTGATAATTAAAAGGCCGGGAGAATGGTCACCGCAGAAAGAGAAGATCATACTGGGCCCTTATGACTACCTGTTTGCTCACCCTGGGAAAGATATCCGCGCGGCCTTGATCAAGGCCTTTGATGCCTTCCTACATGTCCCTTCGAAGTCTTTGGATATTATCACAAAGGTGGTGGGGATGTTACATACGTCTTCGCTCCTCATCGACGATGTACAGGACAACAGCGTGTTGCGGAGAGGCATTCCTGTGGCACATAATATCTTCGGGACGGCCCAAACGATCAACAGTGCCAATTATGTCTACTTTCTCGCCCTCCAAGACCTTTTGAACCTGGAAAACAGAGATGAGGCGATTGAGATATTTACCACCGAACTTCTCAACCTCCATCGCGGCCAGGGGATGGATTTGTACTGGCGTGACACATTGACCTGCCCCACAGAGGACGATTACTTGGAAATGGTGCAGAACAAGACTGGAGGCTTGTTTCGTCTGGCTGTAAAGTTGATGCAGGCCGAGTCACCGGAAAAGGGCCGCATAGATTGCGTGCCTCTTGTCAACTTGATGGGACTGGTTTTCCAGATTTGTGACGACTACTTGAACCTCTCCTCCAGCACCTACACCAAGAACAAAGGTCTATGCGAAGACCTCACCGAAGGCAAATTCTCCTTCCCCATCATCCACTCGATAAGAAGTAACCCCTCCAACCTGCAGCTAGTCAACATTCTCAAACAGAAAACTACCGACGAGGAAGTCAAGCGGTACGCAGTTAAGTATATGGAAGGCACAGGCAGCTTTGAGTATACCAAGAAGGTTGTGCGCGAATTGAAACTGAAGGCTGTGAATCTGGTCACAGAGTTGGACGGCAGTTCCGGCCGAGGGGATGAAGTAAAGGCGATTCTGGACAAGATTGCGGAACCAGCACTTAATGAATAGGGTCAAGGGTCGTAACAGGTAGGGTGTTTGGGGGGAGGCGATTTGACAAGAAAGACCGGACGATGATGATGTACTCGTACATTTTATTAGTGTATAATACTTGGTATCTCAGATCACGAGATATTGCAACTCGACGCGTCCTCTCCAGATTGTACAACTGCAGTCGTACCCAAGTATTGCTGCCAATATTAGGAGCCCTGAGTGCCTCATCAAAGCTAGTTCCGACCACCCAGGACTCAGTGCTTCTCTACCTGCGACCCCGGGGATAGATAGGGAAGTCACTCTCCGCCTCCATCAGTCGCTGGTTCGCTCCACCACCTCCACTCCTCCCCGGCATCCCCATCTCTAACAACATCTTCTCGGCTCGGCATCTGCCATCAGGTCGATATGTGGAGGCCCTCAATCCCATCTATGTTCGACCCCGATGTCCCCGCGTCCCTACACCAGAGCGAGCAGTAAGTGCCTGGAAATGGTGGATCAGCAAGGATTATTATATGCACACCCTCTATTATTTGGTCCGCGGGAATTTGTTTGTCTTGGTAATGTGGGAGTCGATCGGAGTCTTTTTAGCGATAGAAGAGTTGGACTGGACGCTTTACATATCAGGTCGAGGCTGGCAGCTGGAAAGAGACATGCGACACTGTGACACTGCTCCCAATACCTACTCAGACACACTCCCAGTCCTTCCAAGATGATCCTCACGCGGCACGATGCAGCCTCGCCACTCCTCGCCACCTATATGCTCCCCTTCTCGCTCATCCTTCTAATTGTCCTTCCCATCACAACCCTTGTTCGCATCCGTTATCGCCGAGGCCTGCGCGAAATCCCGGGCCCCTTCTTAGCCAGTATCCTGCCGTTTGATCGCATGCTCAGCGCCTACTCTGGACGGCAATTTCAGCGCCATCTTGAGTACCATGCCAAGTATGGGAAGTTGGTCCGCGTGGGGCCTAACCATGTGAGTCTGGGAGATTCGGAGCAGATCTCGAATGTTTATAGCATTACCAGCAAGTTTGACAAGGCAAGTTTGTTCCCTTCCTCTCCCCGAGCTCGAAATGGCGACACGGAGGGAGCTAGAAGAAGAGGCTCCTGATACTGACGTGGGATATCAATAAAAGAGCAACTTCTACACTCTATTCCATGCCAAGTCGCCCATTGGACCCATTCCCACTGTCTTTTCGATTGTCGACCCTGTCGGACATAGGAATCTCAAAAGACCTGTGGGTGCTGCGTTCGCCCTGAGCTCTTTGCTCGACTTTGAACCCCTGGCCGATGACTGCACACGGATACTGGAAGGCAAGCTTGATGCCCTGCAAGGCCAGCCGATTGATTTTGGTACGTGGCTGCACTGGTACGCATTCGATGTGATCAGCAGCATCACCTTCTCCAACCGACTGGGGTTCATGGAGAGAGAGGAAGACGTCAATGGCATCATTGCTGCGATCGAAGGTCGGTTGTTCTACAACTCGATCATCGGCCAGGTTCCGAGCATGCACAAGTGGCTGCTGGGAAACAACACCGTCTCACGACTAGCCGACATGGTACCCGCCATCAAGCGACTGAACTCAGCAGCATACATTGTCCAGTTCGCCGCGAGACAGTTGGAGATGAGGCAAAATGCCAAGGCTGAGCATGGACGGTCCGACATGGTGGACAAATTCAAGATGACGAGGGATGGCGAAGAAGTCATGAGCCAGAAGGAGTTGTTGGGACATGCGAGTTCGAACGTGTGAGTATATTGGCCCTGTTTCCTGGAGCATACCAATACGCGACCAAGGTCTCTGTTGTTGCAAAGCTGACAAGTGGTTGAAACAGGTTCGCTGGTTCCGATACAACAGCCATCTCCCTCCGGGCGCTGTTCTATCACCTTTGTAAGAACCCGCACGCGTACAAGAAATGCGTGGATGAGATCCTCAGTTTCGATGCCCGCGGCGAGCTGTCCGAGTATGTCACGTACTACGAAGCGCAGCGCATGCCATATTTTCAGGCGTGTATGAGGGAGGCGTTGCGCATGCATCCCGCCGTGGGACAGTTGCTCGAGCGGGTTGTCCCCTCAGGCGGAGCCACAATCGACGGTGTCTATCTACCAGCAGGGACGATTGTAGGCTTCAACCCCTGGGTCGCGGCGAGGGACAAAGCAGTATATGGGCATGACGCTGCGCTATTCCGGCCGGAGCGGTGGATCGAAGCCGATGAGAAGACAATGAAGTTGATGGACCGGAACTGGCTCGCTGTAAGCACTTCTTTCCCTCCTCCTATCCTGTCCCACACCCCTGTTCACCTCATCCCCTACGACTAGCCAGCTGGGCTAACCTCATGTCCCACCCAGTTTGGAGCCGGCTCGCGCACATGCCTGGGCAAGAACATCTCCCTGATGGAGATGTCGAAGCTCGTGCCGCAGCTGCTCCGTCGATACCACATCCGACTGGCCGATCCAAACGCCGAGTGGGAGCTGTTTGACTACTGGTTCGTCAAGCAGGAAGGCCTGAGATGTACTCTGACAAGGAGAGACGGTGGGAAGGAGTAGAACGAGGCCAAAGAGGATGATGGAGATCTAGCGGCGGGCACGCTCGCATTATGATATAACGTGTATTCATGAACCCCGTGAGCAGCAAGCACAGCCTCTGCGGCAACGTTCGTGGTTATGTCTTGGATATACCTTGCTGCCTTGAGGGCTAGGTTTTAGAAGGACAAAAGGAATGAACATTCAGAATAGTAGAGAAAACGGACAAGCGCCGTTGTTTCTCCAGGTAAAGGGCTAGCAAAAGTGTCTCATTGTTCTAGACACTTCAGTATTGAGACATAACAATCAGGATACCATGCCCCCAGTTCGATTCTATCTATATAGCAAGGTGTCTGGTCTGGTATCTACAAAGTCTTGACGGCGTCTATAAACGCTTTCGTTTTGTCGGCACTCCGCCGCCCATCAACTTCGATCCCCGAACTGACATCCACGCCGACAATGTTTTGGCCTATATATTCTTCACCCAGTTCCTTCAACACCGTCCGGACATTGTCCGGAGTGAGTCCTCCCGCGAGGATGACCTTGAGATTGTCATCCTTTTGAAATAGGGTTTTCACGTCATCGAGGTTGACCCTCGTGCCTGACCCACCAGAACCAGCATCTAACAAGGGCAAGGCATGATAGCCTCTTCTGTTGATCCCGCAGTCCTTGGGCGAAAACGCTTTCAGGACAGGAACTGGTATCTGCCTTGCATATTCCAGGGGTTCTGAGCCATGAAGCTGCACCGCATCCAATCCAAACTTCCGGACTTGCTGGATAATGTGGTGAAGGGGCGCATCAACGAATACACCAACGAGAAGGGCACGGTCAGGCCGGAGGAGGAGCTGGGACGAGGTGTAGCTGAAGAAATCTGCACTGCCAACTCCTTCAACCCCACTGACGGGTTTCGAAGACGCCGCGCGAGGCGTTCCTTTCACAACCTTCGCTATCTGTAGCGCCACATCGTCAGAAACGTAGCGCGTTCTGCCAGGCACGAGAATGATGCCGATTTGATCTGCACCAGCCTCAATTGCTGCTTTGGCGTCTTCGGGTGTGCGCGTGCCGCAAATTTTAACCGAAAGTTGCTTGTTTCGTGCTGCCTTTTGTGCAAGGACATCGGGATCTCCTACTAGCGAGGCAATAAAGTCCACGGGATTCGATGCCCTCATCAAGCCTCGCCAACTAGAATTGCTTTGACACCATCCTTTTTGTAGGCTTGCACATCTTGAGGACCAAAGATTCCACTTAATGCGCACACAATTGTGGACTTGGGGACTTGATCCATCAGTCGACTTGTCGTTCCCAGATCAACCTCGAAGTTTGTGAGATTGCGATTGTTCACGCCAATGACTTCGGCGCCCAACTCAACGGCAATTTTCATCTCCTCTGCGGTATTGACTTCGACAAGAGGCTCCATTCCCAGCAATCTCGAGTAGTTGTACAACCTCGTCAATGTCTCCACGTCAAGCATCTTCACAATCAGTAAAACTGTGTCTGCGCCGGCAAGCCGTGCCTCCAGAATCTGGTACTCGTCAAAGATGAATTCCTTACGCAGCACCGCAGGTCTATTGGGCATGCTATCGAGAGCCTGGCGGACGAGTCTCATGTCTTCGAGGCTTCCTTTGAACCACTCCGGTTCTGTCAACACGGAGATGACGCTGGCGCCGGCGGTTGCATATTTTCGTGCCTGCGCTGGGGCACACGTCCCGAGGGATATGATGCCTTTCGAAGGGGAGGCTCGTTTTACCTCAGCCAGGAGTGCAATTGGGTAAGGAGATTGTCGGAGCCTTTTTGGGAATGAAATTTGAGGGGGAGCAAGACCGAGGTCATAGGCATCTTGGAGATCTTCCAGTCTCTGGGATGGGATGAGCCTCTGAGCGGCGACGGCTTGTCGTCGGTGAGCGTAGATTTTGTCCAGGATGGATTCTTTCTTCGCAGGTGCTGCACCATTCAAGGTGGCTTTGGCATCTGCCTCGGGAGCCGCATACTGAGGATTGTCCGACCACTTTCCGCCAGACATTTGCAGGAAGTTCTTGAACATGACTCGACCATTCTCTGTCAGGATACTTTCTGGGTGGAATTGGACGCCTTCAATGACATATTCTTTGTGGCGGACACCCATAATCACGCCCTTGCCACCATCCGGCCCTCTGGCTATCCAAGAGGAGACCTCCAGCGACTGCGGAAGGGTCGGGTGTGTCCCCGCGAGCGAATGGTATCTTGTGACAGGTAGGTCTTGTGCCAATGTAGTATAACATCCTTTGCCATCATGCCTCAAGGGGGAGGTCTTCCCATGGAGGATCTCTCCAGTAACATCGACTTGACCACCAAAGGCCGAGATTATGCATTGTTGTCCCATACACACCCCTAGGATCGGAATCTTGCCCGCAAAGTATTTGATTGCGTCTTTACTTATACCCGCGTCCGTGTCAGGGTGACCAGGGCCAGGGCTGATGACCAATTGTGTTGGCTTTTTGGCAATAAGCTCTTCAAGAGTCACTTTGTCGTTTCGGTATACTGTAACGGAGGCACCTTCAAGGACGAGGTACTGGTAGACATTCCAGGTGAACGAGTCATAATTGTCGATGAGGACGAGATTGTTTGCCGACGGCAGCTTTTGGGCAGGAATGGGTTGATAGGGAGAGTGATCGATCAGAGCAGCGGGCGCCATGGCTGGTTTCGAGTCTTGGTGGTAAGTTGGAAGTGAAAACCTCCTCTGCTGACGCTGGAGAAGAGAAGTTCAACTCTGGTGGAGGAACCACTTCTTGTCGTCCGTACCTCGCCATGTCGATCATGACCGCAGTTTTGCCGGGTGACTTTAGCGCACGTCCTGCAAGGTTAATCGGACCTCTACCCGCACTGCTGCGAAAGGATGTCTGGTCAACCAGGCGTACAGCTCAGTATCACTCTGTGACGAGGGACTGCATGTCCATTTCTGTCGCTGCGTCTTCTACTGGTATTCTTCGATGCTTCACGTGGATTATTTACTCCCGCTCAACCAAGCTACCTCCAACTGGCCTTACTGGTGGGTCTTTCCTTGCTTGGGCATCAGCGCCAGGACGAGCCACTGATCTACCATCGACGCATCGGTATTGAACAAGACACAACAAGAAGGGTGGGAACGTCGCCTAGAGGCGAAAATGCGGAAATGCCGATCGGCAAATTTGATATAAAGCCTCGATCATACTAGAAAGCCGCAAATCATATTGAGGTAGGCTGGAGGCATCGACCTTTGTCAGAGTCTTGTAGAGCTGGTATGACTCCTGTGGCAGCCGATGGTCAGGTTTGTGTGCATTCCCCGTGGTGAAATTCACTCATGATCTTCTGCCTACAGCTCTTTTCCCTCGACAATCGACTCAATAAAAGGCTGCACCAACTGCTGAAACTCACTAGGCTTCGAAGAGAAGACTACGTGTCCAGCATCGAGAAAGACTAGCCTTGCCTGGGGCATGTACATCTTGGTCGCTTCCGCAGATGCCTTCGAAAAGAGCGGATCTCGCGAGCCCCAAACGAGCAACACCGGGGCCTTGATGCTCTCTGCTCGAGATCGAAGATCATGGCCGGGATCCAAGAAACTGCGCCACAGAGCGGCAGCAGTCGACGCACCCTCTCCGCTGCTTGCCCTGGCCTTCACTCTGCGGGTGATGTCCTCGTCATGACTCGTCTGAGGACTCATATACTTTCCCACAAGATGCGGCATTACCAAGCGTGACACAGTTGCAAAACCCAGCAGTCGAGCAAACAACCGGGAGATGAGAGTCCATTCGACAAACCCGCCGGCATTAACAAGGATCATTCCTCGAACTTTATCCGGATGGGTGACGGCCAGCCTTGCCGCGGCAAATCCTCCTACTGAGTTACCAATGAAGATGGGCGGTTCCAGCTTCAAGCCCTCGACAATGTCTTCTAGTATATCTGCGAATCCAACGGCACTGAGATATCCTTTACTTGACCCCCCTGGGGAGTTCCCGTGCCATGGCCAGTCCACGCTAATCGTTTGGTATCTCTCAGCCAGACGTTCGGCAATGACCTCGTAATCTCGGCTGTCGTGGAGCGTTGCATGTAACAGGACGATTGGCTGGCCTTTGCCTTGAACAGAGTACGAAATGTCTCCCGCTCTGGTGGGAACCGAGTGCATTGTTGGAGTCATGATATGCTGCGGTTGACGACCAATGTGACAGACTCCAGGAAAAGACTCAATGAATATGAGAGTGGTGTCTCTTAATGTACACTCTGTCGAACCATGTGACCAATCTGTGGTGCTATGGATGCGAAGCACAGACACCGCGCAGTCTTGTACTTTCGTACGAACGAGCCAATCACAAGGCATCAGAGGGCTGGGCTAACTTCTGTCCGACGGACAGACTTGAAATTAGCATGCTGTTGGAGAGACGCTTGTGTCAACAGGCGTGTCTATTGCAAGGACCAGGTTCTCTCTTCGAGATGCTGCCGTCGACCGTTCCGCCGTATGCGTATCGAGACGACCTCTGCTTGCGGGATCCCATTGAATCTGCCACTTTGGCTTCCCTATGCTGCATCCTCACCGGTCCGGTGCCTTTACGCCCGCCTCAAGCCTTGTGTTAGTGTCAGTAGTCTCACCGTCTCGTGTAGCCCGACTTCGTATCTTGATTCTGGTGGCTTTCCTTTTGCCGAATACGTCGGAAGAGCAGTAACATGGTCGAGATCGTTGTTGCTTGGGCCAGAGGATTCACAGGTTGCTACAGTGTCGGCACCTTCGCGTTCGGACTGGCCTGTTCTCTCCAGGCACGGGATAGAAGGATCAAACAGATGGCTCAAAGACGACTTTTCTGGTCGTTTGGGCGGTTTGTGGAAAACGTGCCGTCTCGTGGATCCCTGTGCAGTGTCTTTAGCGAGAACCATCAAGGATTATCATCGCTATTTTGCAGGACACGAGAGGGGGAATGCTGCACTAGCGATGATCAGAGACGACCTCGAGGGTTGCCAGTTGACGACTTTGTGTGCGTTTTTGTCGTCCTCTCAGGGTCCATGATCCGTCAAATCAGTCTCATTAATTTTGGTATGAGTTCGCGGGGAGAAGGCAACAAGAGCAAAGTAGATCGGTTGTTAGACTCCCAGACTTTGATTCCTCCTTTCGCGACATCTTTTTACAAGGTTGAGCAGGTGGAGGATGGTTGATTGATAATGTGGTCCTTTGTCCGTTGATCTCAATGGTCAACCGAGGTCAACAAATGGATTTCGGGCTCCGGGATTGATTCCTAATACGGGCGTCCGAGACAATCATCCCGACTCCAATGAGATATTAAGACAACGCGACGGGGGAGAACTCCCTTCCAAGAAGTTTTTCCAAAGTGGCACCTCGTTTTTCCTCTTGATTTCTGGACGGACATCCTAGACTCATAGACCTGCCCCACCTCCAGGATCTCGCTCTCCATGGCTCCGAAACTCTACACCTCCAAGGTGTCTGGCAACTGCTACAAGGTTCGCCTCCTGGCCAGCTTACTCGATATTCCCCTTGAACAAGTTGAAATAGACTTCTTCAACCTGCAGCACCGCTCACCGGAGTTCTTGAACCTGAACCCTCGCGGCGAGCTGCCAACGCTGGTCGACCAGGGGAAAATCTTCAACGACTCCAGCGCGATCCTGATCTATCTCGCCGGCACGAACCCCGATAGAGGCTCCGGCGCGGCCCCTTCGAGCTACTGGTCCGCCGACGTTGTGGACCAGGCCTCTATCGTGGACTGGCTCGCCTTCGCGGGCAGCTGGATCCATGCCGGACTCTCCAAGGCCAGGGCGATCGTGGCGTTCCATTGGCCGCCCAACGCCAGCGAGGCGGACCTTACAGAGGCAAAGAAAAAAGGAGTGAAATCGCTAGAGATTCTGGAGGAGAGGCTGGCGAAGGAGCAATGGTTGGCCTTGTCAAGGCCGACAATCGCGGATGTGGCCGTGTTTGTCTATGTTGCCTTGGCTGAGATGGGCAATGTCCCGTTGGCGCCATACCCTGCTGTTAGGGCGTGGATCGACAGGATCAAAGGGCTACCCGGATTCGTTCCACTGGATGGCTTGGATAAGGCGATGGGCTAGAGCTGAGGTGCAGGACGAGTTGGATGTTAGAAGGTATTGCGGCTGGTTTGCAGCAACGCAAAAAATCAAATGCGGATCTAACTCAACACATTTATCAAGGTACCAAAGAGTCCGGTCTAGTCAACACCTCTACATTCCTTAAATCGCGGTACCACAAGCATTGGATAGTGGGGACAGAGGATGTTAGAGTGTGAGGGAGACATTGCAAGCTACAGCAACCTCGGGTGTGTATTGACCGAATCACATCTCATGTTGAGCCATAGTCTAGCAAAGAGAGCTGAGCTCGCTCCCTAGACTATACAAGCCATTGCACCACTGCGATCCTTGTACACCATTACTTGGATGACCGGAGAAGTCGAAACTGCATACTTTTAGTTGGACATGGCTCAGTGAAGGAGCTAGATCGAAACAGGAAATTGGAACACCGCATCAGCCAAACCCACCTAATTGTTTTCTTGGCGTGTGCAAAACACCCAAAATTTCAATTTCGCTGTGCCTGGATGGATGTGGCAGCCTCGTCACAGGCAGTGAGTTATCAACACTCACCAGCCCACGTGCTCTTTCGGGGACGGTTTCTCTACCGGAGGAAATCTCGCGTGTCACAAAGCCCTGCTTAGAAACCTAAAAATTTTTCTCAATACAGATATGGAGGACACATCGTCACCGCCACCTCGGAAGGAGCAGAATTGGCGCTCCACGGCCTCGACCAACTGGCGCGTCAAAGACGATACACCGCGGTCGGAGCAGCAACAGCCTCGAGCGCGGACTAACCGTAACCAGAACGGACAATCCACATACAATGGCAACAGCAATTCAGCCCAACCAGCTGATGAAGCGGCGGGGACGAGGCTTTATATTGGCAATCTCCTCTATACCGCTCAGGCTTCCGATATCAAGGAAATGTTCATTGAGAACGGTTTCAACGTCGTCGGTATCAGCATGTCTACGGATCCCTTTACAGGACGAAACCCGAGTTACTGCTTTGTAGACGTGGAAAGCCCGGAAGAGGCCCAGAGGGCGATGAGTCAGTTGAATGGCGTGGACGTCCTCGGAAGACCAGTCAGAGTCAGCCTCGGTGTGGCCAGAAGGCAGGGCCAGGGCCAGAGCAACGCAAGTGGCACCACGGGTGGGAGGGAGGCCAGAGTTAAGGACTTTGAGCGAGGTTGGGGAAGGGTTCGCGAGTCGAGGGAGCAGAAAGGTGAGCACCCCCAACAACGTCATAGCGCGAGCGCACAGTCCCCTGGCTTGTGTCCTAACGAAGCCCTTCCATGAACTTGACTGTGCATGATCTGACGAACCGCGTCATTTTCAGACACTGATTACAACCCAACATTCGACCGTTGGAGTCGCAATGATGCCACTTCTCACTGGACAGCGCCCCAGTCGGAAGGACGACGGCTCTATATCGGCAACATGCCTCGAATCGAGCCGCAATCAGCGCATGACGAGGAAGTGCGGGCTCTCTTTAGCCAGTACGTCCCAGATATTACGCCAACGGCGGTGTCGAAACAGATTTCACCGCGTGTCCCTAAGCCCGACCAGCCAGGGAATCAGTACTACTGTTTTGTTGACCTAGAGAGATCAGAGGACATCGACACTGTGATTGGGGCATTGGACGGCAAGGAGGGCAGCTGGGGTGGCGCTGTTAGAGTCAATCGGGCCAAGGGCTCGGACAGGAAGGTCATCAAGGAGCAGGGCTTGGGCAGCGGCGAGCGACGGACCTTTGGCGAAGGCAATTGGAGGAAGGATTAGCCGCACGCCTAGGCTCAAATCTGAGGTTTCATCCGCAGCTTCGAGAAAACGAGGACGTCTTGGAAAAGAGCATGGTGAAGAGGGAGGACAGCCGTGGAAGTGAAAACCAGCAACATGCGTGACCTTGGACAGACGCTTTCTGGGTCATCAATCTCGCTTGGAAGTCTCCAACATCGATCACATTGGTTATGGCTACGACACAATACGACTATCGCGGCGCAAGGGTAGCTGATGGCTCCCTCGCTGGTGAGCGACCTTGAACAAAGAGAGTGGCACATCTGACTAAACGGAGGGGCTTTTTGATGGCAAAGTTACATTGAGTCATTCTGGAATCGGATTCGCTTTTTTTTTTTTAACTCGTAAATCGAGCCATGTTCTCTATCCTCCCTCTGTCTTTACCGGCTGTTTTTGATATAGTGGCTCGTGCCTCGTTATTGAGCATCCTTGAGCTCTTTTGGATGTAACGTGTATTCTGTCGAGACTGTTCCCCTTCTTACTCTTCTCACTCTTCCTATTTGTTTTGCTAAGGAGATCCTGTACATATCTGTTGGGTATATCGCCATGAGGATAGCAGAGCGGGCCAGTATCGATGTGATGGAGCCGGCGACCTACCTTGTCTCATCTGCGTCTCCTTCTACGCCTTGGATGTCAGCTTCAAGGGGTAGTCCGTACTCTCGATCGCATCTGGGTAGACCAAGCCGCACTGCCTCCTCGCTTCATCCATAACTTCCATGATCAGCGTCGATTCCGCCCAAGACATGGTTTCGGATTCTAGTTTCCCAGCAAGCAGACAGCGTGCCGCAGCGTCGGCTTCGTACTGACGTGCGCGGTGAAGACGTCAGTTGGACTGTTCTCGCTCGCCACCAAGGCGAGATTATGAAGGGAATATCTGATTAGAGACTTGGGGTACATACCATCATGCCGTGACACCCACCCTCGAACTCGAATTTTCGGTCGAGAATATCCGCTGCTGGGTCCTTCGGTATCAATCGATATCGTGTCGGCCGGTATATCGGGCCATATACTTGAATCTCGCCTGTCTCGCCTTCAATGCGTACTGCAGGGGTCTCCACATCTCCTTTCCCGGCGTGTCGTCGCCCTGGGTCGTCGCTGACACGCATCGCCGTGGTAGCCACAGCGTGAGCTCTCGTCTTTCCCGTAGGAGTCGATTTAGGAAATTCGAGGAGTATTAGTGTCGATTCGTCGGCGCCGGTCCGTGGTTCCGGGGTCATTGCTGCTCCGACCACTTTGGGACGAGATTGTTCCCGGAGGTGCGGAGGTAATGTGTGGTACATTGATTGGAAGACCCATGTAAGAGAATAAATACCCAAGTCGAGCAGAGCCCCGCCTGCCAGGTTGAGATTCACCATGCGATGGCCCGGATCAAACTCTTTCTCGGGTGACACACCAATACTCAGATCTGACAGCACTCGTATTACCTCGCCAATGTCGTTATCTGTGATGTGTTTCCGAATGGTCTGACTGAGTGGGAAATACCGCGTCCAAACAGCCTCCATGAAGAAGAGGTTCTTCTCTTTCGCAGTCTTGTATAGAATCTTGGCTTGTGCGGCGTTGACTGTGAGGGATTTCTCGCAGAGCACAGATTTATTGTGGGAGAGACAGAGCATTGCGTTTTGGTAGTGGTGCGAATGTGGCGAGCCAATGTAAATAATATCTACCGCCGGGTCTTTTACGAGTTCCTCGTAGGAGCCGTAGGGGGTGCACTTTGCGGACTGAGATGCGGAGATGATATTGGAAATGAACTTTTCTGCGGAGGATAGAGACGAGGAGGATGCGACCGCGGTAACGATGTGACGAACGTCCCTGACATTACGAGTCGAAGGGTCGACAAGAAGATCTTTGGTAAAGGTCTGCGCGATTCCACCAGTGGCTACAGCATATTGTCAGTCGAAGGGAAGCGCGGAATTGGCTGTTTTATCACATACCCATGATGCCCCAACGGACTTCTTTGGGCGAAGACATGGTCGCAAGGACCTGCACGGTGAGCGACTGGGTAAATAAAGCAAAGAATACGAAAGACACGTCAAAATGCTGCCAAATATCGTGGCAATGTACAGCATTGAAAGAAATCTCGTGGGGAAGGGTTATTTGTATCAGACGCGCGCGGGGTATGCAACCAGCAAGCGGATTGACAGACGTGGTAAGCCGCCCGAGGACGGTTATTCAGCCTGATATTAAAGATTGGCGGCCATTGATGACAACCGGCCGTACGTCGTCGGTTGCCTCCCCGGATATGGTCAAAAATGCTCGGTCTCTTGAGTAGGTACTCGGTTTGGTCGGATCTGACTCCGAGATGTTCATTGCTGTCTTCATATGTTTGCTGAATAATGTTGGGCGTCCTCTGCAGTCAGTTGGTGCATGGGGAAGCGGGTAAGATTCCGGATATTGCATTATGGGACGAGAGATAAACAAGGGACGCGTGGCTTGCTTGTGCCAATTAAGTCTTGTATTCGTCTCGCGAAAGGCGCAAGATATGTACTCAAAGTCAGAACCCTTTTCCGCATGAGACTCACCATTTTCCTGGGGATATTGGACACCCAGTTCCCGTAACTTGTACACATTTGCAAACATGGCATGAATTCTTTTTCAAAGTCTCCTGGATAGTGTCATTCCAGCCGCCAATTCGGTGCTTGCTCCGGAGCTTGATGCAAGGAGGTCCTTCTTCATTGTCCTGCGCCCACGTCTACCGCAGTCCGATCTTGGTCAGGATGCTGCCGGTGGCTGGGGTCTTCGAGTCACCGAAAACAGCGAGAATACTCTTCCAAACATGTTCCGGGTCCTGGCTGGCGTCGATCCCGGACCAGATACCTTTGTTCTTGTAGTAGGTCACCACAGGGGTTGTTTGTGCGTGATATGTTCCCAATCTCTTCTTAAGAGTCTCAGCATTGTCATCGGTTCTTTGAATCAGTGGCTCTCCAGTGACATCGTCCTTCATGAACTCCTTTGGTGGATTGAAGACCTTGTGATATGACCGACCCGAGGCTGGGTGGATTAGCCGGCCTGTGATGCGGGAGACGAGTAGTCCATCGTCGATCTGGAGTTCGATCGCGTGTTTCAGAGGTTTTTTCTCTGCCTCAAGCATGGAGTCGAGGCCTTCAGCTTGGGCGACCGTCCGGGGGAAGCCATCGAGGATAAAGCTGGCAATGTCAGTAACGAGAGACATGATACCTGTAGCACAGAATCTTACCCATTGGCGCATTCGCGGTTGGTGTCCAACTCGTTCTTGATCATGTTGATCATAATGTCGTCGCTGACTAGGCCACCTTGGTCCATGATCTTCTTAGCTTCTTTTCCCAAGGGAGTCTTTTTTGCAACCTGTGCTCGAAGCATGTCACCGGTGGCCTAGGAGAACTGTCAATGTCTAGCCTAGAGCTGTTGGAGGCATATGGGCATACCAGATGACACACGCAGTATTTTTCTTTGATTCGGGGAGCTTGAGTTCCCTTGCCTATGGAGAGCGTGTCAGTTAACGCGTATGGTGATGGGCAATGCCAAACCCACCTGCGCCTGGGGGACCGATGAGAATCATGCGCATAGCGTCCGTAACCGAGGGCTTCTTTTCGCCTTCTAGCCTTCGCTCGAGAGACCAGACTCGAGCTTCGAGCTTGTGAACAAGGTCTTTCAGGTCCTCGACATGTTGATCGGTGATTGGAGCCATGCTGGCTACGTAGCTAAGCGAAGGGGACCTGACCAAGGTCGAAGGTTGGGCAGATAGCTAGAGTGCTTGCTGTGGCTCCTTGCTTGGTGAACTGCAAGTGAGCAGGAAAATGAACGAGAGGAAGGGATACGGGATGAGAAGAAAGCTGCCACAGAAATGCAGAGGTGTTACGAAAGCAATTGCTTTGTGAGCTTTCAAAAGTTCAGCGAGGACGAGAATCCTCCGGTTTACCGGACCACGGGCGTTGCACCAGCCTCCCGAGGTGTCGACCTGAGCTCCGGCTTGCCAAGAGGTCACGTTTTTTTGTTTGTCGGATGGATGAGCGCACAGCGCAGACAGCTGAGAGCCACACAAGCCACAACTGCGCACAGATTCCCTTCCCTTGTCCCGAAAGTATTCCGATCGTCTCTTCGCCTTGACCTCATCCTCGCCTCCCGAGCTATGGAGCACATCCTGTGGTTGAGCTCAACATCCGCAACAATATCCGTCCCAACGGCTTTGTGGCAACCCAGCCAGAACTGGATGAAACAAGCAGCCATCTGCGCCCGCAATTGTTTCCAGAATACACCAGCATGCACCCGGGTTGTCTAACCATGGGCATATTTTACATCATTTTCCGCAGTGTGACCGCGAAGTTCGAGTTTTGTCTGCCCATCGCTCCAGAGTTTCAAGGAGAATGCACGCTGTACCATCGAATCAGAGTTTCCAACGCCCAAAGGCGACCCTAGAGACCATCTGCACCAATGAGCACCGGATCAAAACTCTCTAGCAAACCACTGTCTTGACTTTCACTTCTTTCGGAACAGAGGCTGCTAACACCGTGGGTGACCATCCCTATCAAAAGCAAAGAGATATGGAGTCAAAAAAGGCCTGATGTCCTGTCTTGTGCGGCCAAGAAGATTGCCCCTAGATATCTAACGCTTGTTGAGTCGTGAGAGTCGCCGGCAGTCTACGGGACTACAGGATTTTGGGAGCAACTGCTGTCCATACGCGACATGTCAAGCGATGCTTGTATAACTGACAGTGCCGGTCAAGGTAACGAGCTGTATGTTTGATCCTGTGAAAGTCACTACAACTTCTTGATCTTGGTGAATGTGAGGCTCATACCAGCTAGCTTACTTATGAAGACGGCGGTCGATTTTAAGCTCAGCTCCAGAATCCGACTGACCAGGTTCCTTGACGCAAATCAATCTTCGATATCCCGCCGTGAGACAATGATTATAGCCACAGCTTCGCTATTTCTACCCTATCAATGCTCAGTTGAGGCGCTGAGACCTTGCAGATAAGGATAAAGACGGGATATACGGAACTCTGAAAGCTTGCCTCGAAACCCTATTCGCTTGGATGCGATTTTGGCCCTGACATCGACTGGGAATGACCAGAGACAATCCGGAAGTCGCAAGGGGAGTCAAAACTGGCGTACTGCATAAGCACGTCGACATTCCCTTGTATCTCAAGAGGTCTGATATGTCCATTTGAGCTTCATTGACCTAAATTCAAGTCCATTTTCTTCAACATCTTGACAAGAACTGCGCCGGGCGAGTATTCTGACCCTTTCAGACAAGTTTTATTGGCTTTTATCATGCGTTTTGACTTTCCGAGAAGTGTTGGATGGATTTCACTACAAACCCGGGTCATCTCTAAACCATTTTTACAAAGGCAGCTCTAAAGGTTGCCTCGCTACGCCTCGACGTCGGATTGGCTCTGACCAAGACGCAGAGAAAATACCTACGACATGGACGGGTCTTCAGGTCTCTGTACCCTTTGTCCAGGACGAGTCCTCGAACCATCAGGGCTCTGTCAGCAGATACTGACAACACCTCACCAACGTTTTATCTCGCCGAAACATGCTACAGAGTACTACGGTGGGGGGGACCCTTTTCCTGAACGGTGCAGTGTCACAGCACAGACTGTGCTGGATACCGACAGGTTCTAATCCACATGGTTGCCAGTCTTCGCCAATAAAGAGACTCGCTAGTCTGCTTGTTGCGGTGAAGGGAATGTCTATGCATGCGAGAGAGCCACCAAGTGATGAAAAAAGGTAAAGCAAAGCAAAGAGCGGTCTCAACACGGCTTTCTGCCGAAGCAGACGGCGATCTCGGGACGATTTCTCCTCATTTCGTTACCTAGTCCTTTCTTAATGGCTGGGAGTTGAGACGCGCAATTGAATATATCTTGTCAAAAAGCAGGTTTTTCGATTTCCCCGCATTTTCTTCTATCTGGTTTACAAGCCGTTTCCGGATCGACGGCACTTGGAACGCCACAACGTCTAAGGCTGTGAGGAGTCGAGTCTCGTGAATTGCCAGCAAACCAAAACGGTCTACATGCGAACCAAGCATTTTCAAGCATATATAAGAATTGTCAAGCTCGTGTCTAGGGAAGTGTAACTAATTTTCGACCCCCGACTTAACAGAATGTTTTGTCCCTGGATCATTTTTGGTGCCATCCACTGGGTGAATGCTCTTCCCAGTGCGGCTCCTTGCTCCAACTCTCTTCCCAAACCAAATGTCCCAGGAGCTATCGTTACCTCTCTCACTGCATCGGTAGTCGATAATTATGCCATCAATATTACCGGCGAATCAAACAATTGGCCTGGTCAGAACATTACGGGACTCAGCTTCTGTCAGGTCAATGTTAGCCTGACTCATCCGGGGACCGGGGATCATGTCAACAACCAGGTATGGCTTCCTCTGACCGGATGGAATGGTATCTTTCTCGGCGTGGGAGGTGGTGGATATGTTGCTGGATCCTGGTCGTCGTTGGCACCGGCTGTTGAGCGTGGGTATGCCGCCGTATCTACCGACGCAGGACACGCTCAGAACAACTCTGGAGACGCCACATCCTGGGCACTGATCAGTCAAGGTGATGTTAACCAGAATCTCCTCCTTGACTTTGCGTCCAGATCAGTCCATGATATGACGGTGCTGGGAAAGGCAGTCACCGCCAGTTTCTATGGTTCTGCGCCCAAGTATGCGTACTGGCAAGGCTGTTCCACCGGCGGCCGACAAGGTCTTATGGAAGCACAGATGTACCCAGATGATTATGACGGCATCGTCGCGTCCGCTCCTGCAATTAACTGGAATGACTTCACACCAGCTCAGCAATGGCCCTACACCGTGATGAACAATGAACACTATTCTCCTCCTCAATGTGAGTTTGACGCTGTTAACGCCGCTGCAGTGGCAGCGTGTGACCATCTGGACGGTCTACAAGATGGTATTATTGGTGCGCCTGGACTTTGCAAATTTGATCCTTCCGAGCTTGTTGGTAAGAACTATACCTGCCATACGGATGGTTCAACTCGACGCTTTTCGAGCCAGACTGCGACTGTTGCGAAGAAGATTTGGCAAGGGCCCACCGCTGCCAATGGCACGGCCTTCTGGTATGGAATTCTTCCTGGCACCAATTTCAGCTCGTTAGCGCCGACCGAGACGTTCACGAATGGAAGCACGGTCGCCGAACCATTCGGTATTTCTGACAGTTGGTTCCGCGATTTCTTGTTCAAAGACGCCAACTACAACACCTCCAACATTACTTACGCCGAGTTTCCAAGCTTGATCCATCAATCTCATGTGGAATATGATTCCGTCATGGGGACCATGGATGCAAACTTGTCCGCCTTCAAAGCTTCCGGTGCAAAGATGATCACTTGGCAAGGTCTGGCTGACAACCTGATTATGCCGAATGGGACGATAGAATATTTTGAAAGAGTCAAAGCCTTGGATTCTAATGTCACAGATTTCTATCGTGTATTCTTTGCTCCCGGCGTGGGACATTGTGGCGGCGGAGGAACTGGCCCGATTCCAGACGACACTCTCATGGCTTTGAGGAAGTGGGTGGAGAATGGAACGGCTCCGGAAGTGCTGCCTGGATCGAGCGGGTTCAGGGTCAATGGCACCGTTCGACATCAGAACTTGTGTCTCTATCCCCTCGTATCAAAGTACAATGGAAAGGGGGATCCAGCGAATGCTTCCAGTTTTACGTGCACGAAGAATTTCTGAGCCATTGGAAGAGTCATAGCTCAACGGGGTTCCTTGCGAGATGAAACCAAGTCCATTCCCGATTTGAGAAAATGCCACTGTCACTGTGCAAGAGATAACGTAGAGATTCGACTTGACTGAATAACGTAACGTACCGACATTTGTTCGTTGGATGATTTGTATGGAGCCTGATGCACCTCAGCCTTGGGAATCCCTGGCTTCTGATTGGTCATTATCCCATGCCTTGAAAACTCCTGGAGGATTCAGCCTGTCGATCCTCCATCATTCAACATTTATATCAGATTCTCATGATCCCTCTCTAATGTTATTAAATAGAGCTTTTTATAACACTACTATAGACTCTGATTCTGGTCATATCTTGACAAATACTTCCTTCAGCGCCTTGGATTGACTTAGCGGCCTTGACATCTCATATGCAATCTTCAACAACTGTCAATCGTCGTCAGCCGTAATCAACTCTTCTGATTGAACATACTACAACGTCTCATCGGAATAAAAGTCGCTTGTGACGCCTCCAAATGCAGCGTCTGTCCTCCTTAGTGAGGACGATAAGTGGCGGTGGAAGCATCACCGGACTAGAAGGTAAGACTACACAGAGATGAGCCCGATCTGGTCTACGGGGGCTTCATCGGGGCTCTCACTACACAGTAATCTTGTCTGGTAGCACTAGCTTACAGCCCAAAGATCCAAAACCGGAAGACAACAGGACATTGTTCCAAGCGTTTGAGTGGTTTCTCCCGCCGTCTTCAAGCGACAGTGCCCTCCCAAATGCGAGCCACTACGACACCCTGACAGCTCTGCTTCCACATCTCTCCGCCTTGGGCATCTCGCACATCTGGATTCCTCCGGGCTGCAAAGCCACATCGATGCATGACAATGGGTACGGGATATACGACCTTTGGGATCTTGGTGAGTTTGATGCGAAGAAGAACGGTAAACCGTCTAGAACGAAATGGGGTCATAAGGAAGACCTAGAAGCCTTCTGTGCAAAGGCAAAAGACATGGGGATAGACGTCCTCTGGGATGCTGTCCTCAATCACAAAGCCTCTCCAGACGGAAAAGAAGTGAGCTGGGGCGTCAAGGTCGACCCTCATGGTAAATGGCAAACAATGACAATGAATCAACTGGCGCTAAGTACGCAACAGACCGGACAAAGGCCCTCACCAAACCCTATGAGCTGGAAACATGGACCAAGTTCACCTTTCCTGGGCGCGGCACGAAGTACTCCGACATGAAATACAATTGGAAGCATTTTTCTGGAGTCGACTACGATTCCCGCACGAAAGACCACGGCATCTTCAAACTCGTTGGCGAAGGGAAGCGAAGTGACTGGGCACACGATGTCAGTAAGGAGCTGGGGAATTATGACTATTTGTAGGTTGCTCTGCCCGGGTTCCTGACGCAACTTTGGAGTTGGAGAACCCACGAAACTCACAAATTGTCCCACAGGATGTTCGCAGACCTTGATCACTCGCATGCTGCTGTGCGGGAGGATATCTTCAACTGGGGGACTTGGATAACCTCGCTGCTCAACCTTGGCGGCTTCCGGTTGGACGCCATCAAGCACTATTCTCTGTCCTTTCTGGCAGACTTTCTGGCACATCTCGACACGAAAACATTGCGAGGGAAAAAGTTATTTTTCGTTGGAGAATATTGGGATTCTGATGTGGACACATTGTCTTCAGTCATCCGGAGGTGTCATGGGCGGTTGAATTTGTTTGATGTTCAGCTGGTATACACGTTTAGCGACTTTTCAAAGGGCAGGAAGCATGATTTGAGAACGATCCTGGACGGGACCCTGGTCCAGAAGGATCATACCCATGCAGTGGTAAGACCATTTCAACACGATGTTCCCGAACGTGCCGAAATGCTGCAAAAAATCTGACGAGCCCTGTGCTTCTAGACGTTCGTTGCGAACCACGACACACAAGAAACACAGTCTCTGGCCGCGCCCGTCGAAGAGTGGTTCGTGCCACTGGCTTACGCACTGATTCTGCTTCGCCACAACGGCGGAACCCCCTGCGTCTTCTGGGGGGACGTCTTTGGCAACCATGGACCGCGGGCTCGACTGCCAGCGTGCGGTGGCAAACTTGCGCGCCTCGTCGCCGCGAGGAAGCTCTACGCCCATGGCCCGCAGAGGGACTATCTCGATTTGGAGGACTGCATCGGCTGGACGCGACTGGGCCACAAATCCAGAGCGAACGGGGCCGGCCTCGCGGTCGTCATGACCAATAGCTGGGACCGGCGGTCGAAGCGGATGTTTGTGGGTCACAGGCACATTGGGGAGAGGTGGAGGGACATTCTCGGCTGGGAGGACAGAGAGGTCGTGATCGACTCGAAAGGATTCGGGACATTCCCTGTTGGCCACCGGTCCGTTGGGGTCTGGACACACGACAAGGCCCCCGATTTCGACAGGATCACCAGGTTCACGTTTCCCAGGTTGGGGCACAGTGCCGCCGCACCGGATCCGAGGGTGCTTCCTGCGTGAGCAAGGCAGAGGGCAGGGCATGGCAGGGCAGGGCAGGGCAGGGCAGAGCAGGGATTCGACTATTGTACGGCCCTCCAACCTCCCCTCCCCCTTTTTTTGGAGGAGAAGAAGCGCCAGGACGAATCGTCGGTCCAGCCTTCTCTTCCTCCCAGCTCACTCAGCAACCCGTTCCAGGCTCTGCTTCCGTACACCAGGCCATGTGCAGTGGGTATGGAGGTAGGCAGGAAGGCCCATCGTATTTCGAGTGGACTGACCGGGTCGAGAAGCCGTACAATCTATGGTCACCGGGCACATGGTCTCCAATATGCCGTTGCCACTGCCACTGCCGCGAGGCTTTTCCCATCCCGATGCCACGGGCTATTGACCCTGAGATGCTATGAATCACATTGCCTGGCTTCCCTGGTAGCCTCTTGGGGAGGTGGCTTCTGGAGAGCCGCGAAATACGGACCAACAAGCTGCCATGTACCTGGTCATGGGGTTGTCAAAAGTTCCAGCCTCGAATCGTTGCGATATATTCACGGATACTCCGGAGCTGGCCACATACACACATACAGAGACGCGGGGCGCTCGACGCTTGCGGGACCAGATATTCGCCTCTTAACAGGGACGTGGTCTGACCATGATTATGATGAAGATGCGGTTGTTGTAGAAGGATTTTGTAACTACGTTCATTCTGCTATTTGCAAGAGTCCAGGCCCACTAAAACACAGTGCAGGATGATTTGCCTCGTGACAACCAGCCGATAATCCTCACAATGTCGCCTCTGACCTTCATCCCAGTTCCATTCGGGTTTAGAGCTGGTACTTGAATTCGGGCGACTTGTCGGTGAACTCCTGGGGAGGCGTGACCACGCCTTGAGAGCGTAGCTCCTCCTTGGCGGCCTCGCGCTTCTTGTAGAGCACGTACAGAATGTTGAAGACAATGAAGGCGAAAGCCAGACTGCCCAGGGACCAGGCGTGGCCGAGAACGAATCTAGGTGCGTCTGTGGACGCGTAGATCTGCCCGGAAATGATACCACCAAGGTTGGTGAGGGTGAGCTGGGTACCTACGGACCGGTCATTAGCAAAAAGAAAACATCGTAATCAGCCAGCGGAGACTTACCCAAACTTGCAGCTCTCTTCCCGTCAGGTGCCACATTGCCAGATAGCCAGGCAATGTTACCGCCGGTGCAGAGGAAGCATGCGGTGGCGATGAGATAGGTTGCGAAATATTGGACTCCCACCGAGACGTCGTCCATTCTCAGAAGTATGGCGTATCCTGCAATGCCGACAGGAGCACAAATCACCATGATCAAGAACCTCTTGTGGTATTTGTCGGAGATGACTGCGCCGACGGCGTAGACGATTGCTCCCCAGAGATTGACGGGGATCACGAGATATTGAGCTTGTTTGGTGGAGTAGTGCAGTCCGTTCTTGATGATAATGGGCAAGAAAGTGCCAAAACCATAGAGAATTGTGACCACAGCAATCTGACTGACACCGTGCAACCAAGTCTTTGTGTCTTTCCAGGCCAGCTTGAGATCGCTGAGTTTGTAGTGGCCGTCGCCTCCAGAATAGGATTCTGATAGCTCGGCACGGACAGCCATGATTTTCTTGTCTTCGTCATTGAGGAAGTAGGCGGTCTGGTAGTTCTTTGGGACTAGATAAATGCACATGGCAGCGAAGACGAGCGTGATAAGGCCCTCCAGGATATAGAGCCACCGCCAACCAGGGTAATCGGCGACGCCATCCATGTACAGGATGCCAAAGGCGATAAGACCACCGAAAGCGCCAGAGAGCGCAGAGGCAACTATGTCGCGTTAGTCTTAACCGATTTCGCAGGGTTATAGTACTCACTGAAGAGATAGGATATCCTTTGAGCCAATTCTTCTCGTCTGTACCAGTTGGCCAAGAACAAGGTCATGGAAGGAAACAAACAGCTAAATGCACGACATCAGTTTCGTCTTTCGTCAATTGCTTCAATAGTTGGGAATAACGTACCCTTCAAACCAGCCCAACAGGATTCTACAGACACAGAGACCCGCGAAGTTCTGGATGAATCCCATGCACATACACACAAGCCCCCAGCAAAAGGTGATGATAGGGATGACTCGGTGAAATTGAAGTCGTTTGACGTATAACGAGGTCGGTAGCTCTGCCAGGACATATGTGCAATAAAAGATAGAGACGGCAGTCTGTCACCCAGTTAGTGGATTTGTCAAAATTGCATGGTTTGAGGCAGCATACGTTGAGCTGATTGCCATGTAGGCCGATATCATCAGCCATGCCTTGGGTGGCCGCGAACCCAATATTCCCACGGTCAAGGTAACTGATGAGCATGAGAAGCATCATGACGGGGGCTATGTAGAGATCGAGCTTGCGCCGCAACTTGGCTTCTTTCTTCTCGAACTCGATAGCCTCTCTAGAGCGGTCATCTGTGATGTACTCCTCAATCTCGGCCTTTTGCTTGAGTTCATCGGCCGGGTTCTCCATGGTCATGTTTGTTACCCTTTGTCCACGGTATGGAAGGTGAGTATAGGGAAATTTGGGCTTCGTGGATATGAGAGCCGGTTGGTGTGTTTGTCGAGAGACGAGAATCTTTGTCCTGGAGTCCAGCTTATGATTCTCAAGCCAGTTGGGGTACCGAAGTCCAGAAGCAAGCCACGTGGGGAAGGCCCTCTCTAGAAATTCCCAGCAGGTGGATATCTCTCCTGATCAAGCGGGTAGAAGGGAACAAGGACTTCTGCACACAGAGCAGACGAGGCAGGCACACTGACATCTAGGAGAAATTCCGGGGAGGAACCCTGATAGCCTGAGTGTTCTGTGGTGCTCTCGCGAAGGGCGATAGCCATTTCTGTCTCGGTGGCCAAGGCGGGCCCATGTTCATGTCAGAACGCCGTCCGGTCTCATTCAGAGTCCCATTGGTGGCACCGGTTGATTCAAACCGGATTAGTGATGTAGCAGATCCTAGGCTGGGCCCAGTACAGAGACGGCATAGATCGCTGATCGGCAATGCTTCGAGGTAGTCAGGAAACGCGCTAGCTGTCAACGGTCGATGTAACTACAGCGTCCTGCTTACGGACGCTGCGGAGATTGGGGTTTTCTCCAATCGGCACTTATCCTGAAGGCATATTGTTGGAGAAGTGGGCGTCGTGAGAGAGAGAGAGCGTGGCGGTGGACGCTCGGATCTGTCTTCCCAGTTCGAGACAGGTGATGGACACAGTTTTAGACGCTGGTGGGAAGGGTCATTGCCAACATTAGATTTTTTTGGATGCGTGACTCTGCGTGTGGATGCTTTTTGGAGGCTGACTCGGTACAAAACTGGGCCTCGTCGGTGTCAACACCCACAGCCTTGTGATGATTTGCTCAGTCGCTCTGCCAGAATAGGGCAATACCGGTGGCGATATCCCATACACCTCGAAGGTAGATTGCGTTGAGTGGCAACTTTCAACACTCCAATGATTCCCCCAATATCCCGCCATAGTTCAAGACATTCCTCATGCGCATCTTCAGCGCTGAACCTAGAGGTGGGTGGGCAGCAGTATCGGGTACCCAGGAAAATAACTCTGACCGCCTGGCACCTCTGTCAGTGTGCTCTCATGGCCTGCTTCCGCCGAAGATAAGGCACGGCTCACCTCGGGCTCCAATAACTTCCATCATTGTCTGCGTAGATCAAGGTTGGGATGGGTCCATAGGACTCTCGTTCCAGGGTTACGGTACTCGAGATGGTAGGCCAATATCCCCTAGCCTTCCGAAAACTCCCTCCTCGTCGAGATGTTAATCTGAAGAAGCATTGTTTTGATGTATGGCCACCTCTTTCATGATTTCGACTAGGAAGTGCAGCCCCTTACCGCAGGCATGGAAGGCTCGCGATGTTGTTACTTAGATCCCGTCAATTATCTCGCTTGCTTTGGTTCCCTCTTTCAATGTGGCATCGTCATGTCTTCACACATGTTCGGAATGTAGAGATCCGTTGGAGCAGCACCAACAGTGGCGCACAACATCAGTTGTTGGATATTGGGAGACGACCAGCTCTTCTCTGACATCGCAATGAGATCAACACTGGCTTCGGAGAGCTGATGGCTGAGCCTCGCCATACTTTTCCAATATTCGTCCGTCTCATTGCTCCAACCTACTAGGTACCCCCATGAGAGTTGCAGGTCGTCAATTTCGAGGGTGGTTCTGGCGAGGTCATGCCTTCGTATTCGTAGTCGCTATGTAATCAAGGAAGATGAGAACACGATATCATCACAACCTACACAGTCGCTGCATTTATGCCACACGGCTATGCAAACACTGTATAGGCAGTAATTGTAAGTAACCGGTCCTCGAACAGGATTGGAGAAAAGTGGCTGCTCGTCCAGAAAAGTGGTGGTGAGTGGGGAACCAATGTATTTCCATTTTCAACTACTCGTCCGGGGCGACCAGCAATTTTGGCTGTTTGGCCGTCCCACGTCCGCACTTATGTACCGAGAGATACGATCTGTCATTCCAACCTACCCCACTCCCAATACCCTCGGGATACCATATTGAGTCCCGACATAGACCCTGGGCGCACCAGGACGATGGGTGAGAGAAACAAACAGCATGATTGGCAATTTCGTGGGGTTTTCTGCGCCCAGTGATATGTTTGCTAATGATAGATATCAACGGACTAGAAAGGCCTCGCTTCTAGTGTGAACACGCTCAAGCATGGTATCCAAATTCATGAGCTCCCGAAGAACCTTGATCGGTTGGCTGGATCCTCTTCCCACTCAAAATCATGCGCAAAAATCACCTCGACTCCCGTGGACTCCAGATGTTGGATTCTTTCAATGGTTTGCTCGGCCAGTTTCTTATCCGCGTGAATACAGCAAATGTGTCCATGCTCGTCGAGCCACTCTCCAATTTTTCTCTCCTTCCTCATGATCCGTCTATCGTGACACGCATCTCCGGCCAAATAGACACTGCTTGTAGGACTTGTCCGTGCCAATAGGTTGATGTGGCCGGGCAGATGACCAGGAGCGTCAACAATAAGGAGGC